GAATTGTTTTTCAGTTTAACTAACTTTAAAAGGTGAACGGAACTGTTATAGGTTAATTTTTTATCAGATATTGATGCCACCGTCCAATTTAAGATTATAGAATACTTTCGGCCAGTTTATTTTCGAAGTTCCATGTGAGGAATTTCCAATTCCCTCTGATTCAGTTCCTCGAAATTCTCCTTCCTTTGCTTTCGAAACTTCATTTTTTAATTTTTGAGTACTATATTCTTTTTCCATTAAATTTTTCTCTTCCTCATTATTTTCAGTCTTGTCTTTATTTGTAATTTTTTGCTTTGATTTAAAAGTTTCTCCAAGCTTTTGATTTGGAGGATCTTCATTTAATAATTTATGAGCGTTTGTTCGCCGCTTTACGGCGAACAAACGATAGTTCTAACTTCGAAATATTAAAATTGTTAAAAATTAGGAGGTTTTAGTAAATTCGCACCTATTTACTGAAAGACTATCACTCATTAATTACGAGACTCCTTCTCTTACTTAGGCTATTGATATCTCACAAAGTTCCGGGCCCGGTCTCTTACCTACTTCCTTCTTCAGACATTGAGTGACTGATCTTGCGCTATTTGGTGAATGATCTTGAGCCATTAACGGATCTGTAAGAATATTTCTTAATTGTATCGAAACCATAGATAATTTCAAAAACCCTATAATTTTCTGATAACCTTCAATCGTCCTATTAACACTTCTATATATTTCTCTAATATCCACCCTAAATAAACATAATCCTTGATTTTCCTCTTAATCCGAGACATTCCCTAAATCACTTTATCTTAACTTATATGATAACCTCTCAAATCTCTTAACTCACTCATTATCACACAACGTAAAAGATTACTTTTATGTTTAATTTGTAGGCTCGTTTCACAAACAATTGTCTCCTTTTCTTTATTTTCACAATTATCAATCTGTGTATTAATAAATGCCTTTAAACCATTATTATCAGTTTGTACGTTTTTTAATTTTGAAAAATCATATTGTAGAAGTTCCTTTTCATTTTTCTTTTTTTCATTGTACCTCCGCTTATATTCTAGAACTTTTTCCTCATTATTTATTTTCCAATTTCGTTTATATTCTACCAGTTTTTCCCTATTATTCTTTGCCCATTTTCGATTCAATTCTCTTTTCCTTTCTCTATTTATTTTAGACAATTTTTTATTTTTCTCAATATACATTTCTTTATAATTTAGATACGTCTTTCTTCTCCATTCATTCCACTTTAACTCTTTTTCTTCTTCATTAATTCCAGGAGGAACTGATGATTCAGCTCTATCATTTATTTTTAAATCTTCTGAAGTCTCCACAACTCTAGTTAACTTGTCTTGATTGTTTTTAACAGAATTAATTAAACTCCATAATATCGAATTGAAGATTAAAAAGAATAAAAAACCAATTAATTTCATTCTAAATTAATATTAAATTTTTTCTAATAAATTAATTTTTATTAATTAATGCTAAATTAAAAGATAGGTAATTTAATTTGAATATAGGTAAAAGCACCCGGTGTATTTTGACATATATTATTTCATAAATGCACTTTTTAATGATTAAATGTAAAAGGTCAATATTGCTAAATATAGTGTAAACATCTTTATTAAAGCCGCCGACAAATTATGAAATCTCAAAGGGCATTCTCACAAACATTAAAGAAAATCTTTAAATTAAAAAATAAAATTTATCAAATGAGTCTCTGAAGAGTACTAAATTTAAGGAAAACGGAACGTTTTATATAATACGAGCGGTTAGGCTCCGCTTAGCAGAGCCTAACCGCTCTTTCTAAAGCAGACAAATATAACTTCTAAGCTTATGATTGGTTCAAAAAAGCCGGTTTTTGACATTTTTTTGCTCTCAAAGGTAATTCATTTAAACAATTAAGAGTTTCTATAATTTTCTGAAATTCTGCCGATATAGAAAAACTGTGGAAGATAAACTGTGGAAGATAAATATTATTTTCTGACAAAAGAATTGTTATATCTTTATAACAAATATAGATGAATACTTTGAATAAGATAATAAGGAAAACATACCCTAAACGGATTGAGGAATTACACAAGGAAAAACTTAGATTATTCATAGTCCTTAAAGAAAGAAAACATGATCACGAGTTGAGACTTGAGTATAAAATCGTCTCAAGAAACTTAAAAAAACAATTAAAAATTCACCATAATAATAAGGAAGAAAAAATAAATAAAGGTGAAATTCAATACATAAGTTAAGCCAAGATACAGACTTACCCAAGATAATAACATACCCTGTTTAATTGATAAAGAAAATAAATTTTACTTTAGTAAGGAAGTAAAATGTAATAATTTAGGAAAGGAATTTCAAAAAAACTTCCAAAACAAAAATATTAATCTATCAAATTATAACAGAAATATAATACCGAAAACAAAATTTTTAGACATAGATTTAAGTAATAGCATTGTGTAGGCTGTCCTCAGATCACTTCCTAATCGTAATTCAAATTCCCCAGATAACATTGCTTATATATTATTAAAATATTGCGCTGACTCACTTGCTAAGATAGTCTCAGATATCTTTAGATGTATTATTGACAATGGGCAAATTCCAGCAATTTAGAAATCATCACTCATTATTCCACTGTATAAAAAGGGAGAAAAATCAGAACCAAAAAATTATCGTACAATATCGCTAACATGCACCTTATGTAAGATTCTTGAAAGAATTATTTCACAGCAATTAACAGAAGATAATAAGTTCTTTAATAAAAATCAATTTGGATTTCTTAAATCAAGATCCACAACCACACAGTTATTATCTACCATGGATGATTTCTATAACGCAATACAAGATGGATATAACATAGATATTATTTATATCGACTTTGCTAAAGCATTTGATACTGTACCAATAAATATTCTTTTAGACAAATTAGAAAAGACAGGCATAGGAGAAAAAGTTTTTACATTTATTAAGAACTTCATATCAGATAGAAAATTCAAGATTAAGACAAGTGACCAATTATCCCGCAACTATGAAACATTCTCATGTATACCTCCTGGAAGTGTCCTAGGACAACTTTTATTCCTTATTTATATAAATGATCGTCTTAATGAATTCCCCGAAATTGTCGGAATAAAACTATACGGAGACGATGAAATCTATATATAGCTCTTAAAAATGGCAAAGAAAGAGATCAAATTAATAAAGCTTTATGAGAACTTGAAAAATGGAAGAATTAAATGGTTTAAGAATTTTAATCTAAATGCTATGCTTTATATTTAGTTAAAAATAACATGAAAAAAGACATGGATTTAAAGTACAAGAAACAGAATTTATTCGTTATTTTGATTTTTGTTTACATACATAAAATTTAGATCATCCTTTTGTTATCTGAAATTTCAAGAATTTAGATTATTCAAAAAATCTGGATCATCCAAAAAACTTAGATCAAACACATCGTTATTGTCTTCAATCTGTTTACTAACATTTGCATCTGCTGTTTGAACATTACCCTCTCCAATATTGTATAAAATTGAGTCAGATAAATTGTCTACACAATCAGTAGTTGAATTAACAAGAGAATTTACTTTTGAATTATTTATCTGTCCATACTCTTCACAAACTATTGGATCTTTTCCTTTATTTTCACATTCATTATTTGGTGAGTTAATAGAAGTTCCTAAATTATTATCAGATTGAACCTTTTTCACTTTTAAAATACCATTTTCGTGAATTTCTTTTTGATTATTCTTCTTCGGTCGACGCTTTTGGTTATATTCTCTCCTCTTTTCTCTATGGTTTAGATTATATTCTTTTTTATATTGTTTATAATTTGCAGAATTCCTCCTTTCGCTTATTCTCTCTTTATTCTCTTCCCGATATTTTCGATCAGTTTCTTTTCTTTTTTCTTTATTCTTCTCCCTATATCTTCGATCAGTTTCTTTTCTTTTTTCTCTATTCTTCTCCCGATATTTTCGATCAGTTTCTTTTCTTTTTTCTTTATTCTTTTGTCTATAGTTTCTATCATATTCCGTTCTTTCAGCTTTATTTTTCTGGTAGTTATTTTTATTATATTCCCTTTTCTTTAACCTTTTTTCTTCTTCTTTATTTTTATTTATTTCTTTTTTTGTAATTTTAGGTGTTGGTTTTAACGTTTCTACATATTTTTGAATTTGAGGGGCAAAAGAAGATTCAGCCCCTTCATTTGATTTTTCATGCAAGGTTCCCTCAGCTTTTTTTAACTCTTGATGGTTTTTATTTTTAACAGAATTAATTAAACTCCATAATATTGAATTAAAAATTAAAAGGATTAAAACATTAATAAGGTTCATTCAAAAATAATTTTTATAATTTTTTAAAGAGTAACGAAAAATAATTAAAGAAATAACTAACTATGTATATTTTGACTCTTTATATTATTTATTACTTAAATTAATTATTGTAATTAAAGCTTATGCCGTAATATGATTTAATGACAGACCTTAATGAATTATCAAAGTGCATTTATTAAGTAAACAATTTCCTTTAAATTTTTATGAGAAAAGCAAATTTCGGAAATAAAAGTACACAGTCGTGTTATTACAAAATAAAATGTATTTATAATTTCCTTAAGACACTTTAGTGTGATGAGTGACTAGGACGCTGTACCTTTTTTAAATGATGGGTTTTTGTGAGTAACTTAATAGAAAAATTTATGGAATCTTATTTCTTTTGATGCTAACTTAAAATATTCAATAAAATTTGTCTGTTTTCCATGATTGTTGAATTGAAATGACGAAAAATAATTTTTGACTGTTTATTTTCATTTTAAGACATACGTATATTTTCCCATATTTTATTAATTCAAAGAGAATTATTCAATAGTTGTCCTTTGAGATTTCAAATTATTCTTACATTAAGTAATTTTGGTTTATTTAATGTCTCATTAAATAATAATATTAATAGTACAAGAAAAAAGAATTTAATTAATCATTTCGATTAATAACAAAATTATTTTCAAATTTTTAAAATTAATTTAGAATATGAAACTTATTGATGTTTTAATCTTTTTAATTTTCAATTCTATATTATGGAGTTTAATTAATTCTGTTAACGAGTTAAATAGCTTTGTTGAGGAAAATTCAAAGGATTTAAGCAAATTATCAACTGATGTGCCTGAAACATCGGTTGCCACTCAAAATCAAAAATATAAAGCAAGGTTAAAACCAAAAATTATAAAAGCAACTAAAACTCTAGATAATGATGAAGAAAAGCTAAGGAGGAAAGAGTATATGAAAGAATATTACCAGAAAAATAAAACAGCAATACACGAATATCGTCGAAATTATCAACAAAATAATAAAGATATATTAAAACAAAAGAGGAAATCTGCAAACAAGAAAATATCTGACCGAAAATACTATCAGAATAACAAGGAAAAGAAGAAAGAATCTATGAAAAAATACTATTTAAAAAAGAAAAATGAAAAACAAATTCAACAAAATATTAGATCAAAATTTAAAGACACGCAATCTGGTGATGATGTTGGAACTTCTTGCAATAATGAAGACGTAGAAAAGTTAAAGAAAAAAGAATATCATAAAAATTATCACCAAAAGAATAAGGAAAAGATCCGTGAAGATTGTCAAAACTGGTACATAAATAATAAAGAAAGGAAAAATGAATATAGTAAAAATTACTATTTAAAAAGGAAAAAAGAAAAAGAGCTTTTAAACACTAAATCTGATGTTAAAGAAGACGGTTCATTAGTTAATGATCATTCTTGTGAATGTGTGAATAATAATTTGAATGACTCAATCATATACTCATGTGAAATGCCGATTCTAAAACCAGTTGATGGACATCTTAATCAACAAGCACAGAAGGATTTGATTGATCTGAGTTTTTTGGAAGATCCGGATTTTTTGAACAATCTAAATTCATGAACATTAAGTCAAAATCTGAAAAATGAAAGTTTAAAATTAAGATAAATGTTCTATATTGATTCTTCCTAAATTTACATAATATTATCAAAAGCAGAAAAAATTAATTATAGTCGTTTTGTGTAATTTGTGCTGATCGGTTTAAAATATCGCTTTTGACAAATAGTGCGCAATTGACTAACTTCGACGGATTAGTTCCTGTTGTATTCCAAAGTTTGAATATTAAGAAGCAGAAATAATTAGATGTCAGCAATAAAAATGTTTTACCTAATTTTATAAGTGTTTTACTAAAGCTCGACGACATTGACAATCGATAAAACGATTGGATCTTATTGATAATCGATGACACTATTGTATGTTAAATAGTTGGTTTAGTCCGGATCTCAACGTATATCCAAGTGTTTTTTCCGTTTGATACTCTCCATATTCACACCCTAGTATGATCGAAGTTACTAAAAGGATTTCCTTATTAGATAAATCTAATAACATAAAATTTATTTATTTAAATAAAAATTAAATTAATTGAAAATATTTTGAAATAACAAAATATCGGTTAAGTCATTTTTTTATATATTGAATAATTTGGGCGTTCATCGTCTTTTCTCTGTTTAGGAAAGTGGCTTGACTTGTTAGCGGATAACGGGCTACTTTTTGGCCTGATTAGTAAGTTGGAAAGAAGTGGGCAAAAGTGCCCCACAAATTTCATCATTTTTTTGGAGTGTGAATTTCATCGAAATACATTAAAAAATGTAAATAAATGGATTTAGCCTACAAATGTAAAGAGAAAGGAATTTTGGCCTAGAAATGCAATGTAAACAAAAATGGGGCCTTATCAGTAAAAAATGGTTTTTTAATAAAAATTACTTTTTAACTACAAAGTAAAAATTAATCAAAATTAATTTTGATTAAATATGAAAAGAAAAAATTTCTTTAAGTTAATTATTTTATTTTCCAGCCATTTTCTGAGTTTTGAATGTAAATATTTAAAAAGCAGAATGAGATTTTTTATTTTTCAAACTAAATTCTTGGTACTATCGCATTATCTTTCCGAAGGTCCGCAAATGTTTTCTGCAATATTTGACTCTCTTTAATTGGATTATGCTTACATCACTTAATTCTTTGTCAATTTCACTCAATTTCCCTTAGCATATTCTATGAATAAAAGGAAAATGAACCTTGATATCGTTTCGACCGGAAAGTTTTTTCCGGGGCACTCTAGTGAGAATAGAAAATAATATTTTTATAATTAATTAAACAAATTAGAAAAGGAAATACATATGATTTAATTAAAATAATGAGTAGAAAAAGGAATAATACATTTATTTTAATAAATTTGGTGTCAAAGTTTCTTTTTAGTATTTGGTTCAAAAAATGAATTAAATTTGGTAATCTGAAAATTTCCTCTCAAAATAAGAAATTCTGATTATCCAAAAAGTGAATTTAAATTTAAAACACTCAACCACTTTTTGATCCACGAATTTCATTCAAATAATCCAGAAAATTCGGATCTTCTAAAATATTCATATCAAAATCATTACAATCAGTATTTTGTTGATTGTGATGCCTATCATGAACATTTTCTTCAACATTATGGAAATTCATTAAATTATCATCACAATTATCCATTTGTAAATTAGATGAACTACCTCCTTCATGAATAACTCGTTGCTCTAACTGAAGGTTTTCTTTTGAGACAATCTGCTCTTTTCCTTTATTTTCCCATTCTTTATTTTGGGGATCGACAAACGAAGTGGAACCACTTGTGGAATTAGGAAAAGAATTTAAATAATCTAAAAAATGGGAATCATCCGATAAACTCAGATCTATTAAATCATCATGATCATCCATTTGTTGAGTATGAAGGCCATCAACCGATTGAACATTTGTTTGTTCATAAAGGCAAGCATTTGTGTCTGATAAATTAGCTTCACATTCACAAGTCTGAGGATTAACAAATAAAGTTCCTTTAGTATTATCATTTCCTATCTTATTATTTATCTGAACATTCTCGTTACATTCAACGGACGGTTTAACTTTGTTGACATAATTATCATTTTGTAAATTTTCTTTTTTATTTTTTCTTTTTAAATAATAATTTCTATTATATTCTCTTCTCTTTTCCTTATTCTTTTTATTATAATTTTTCTTATATTCTTTTCTCTTTAACTTTTCTACGTCGTCTCGTTCCTTTTTCTTCTTTAAACGGTATTTTCGTTGATATTCACGAGTATTTTCTTTATTATCTTCTCTGTACTTTCGTATACCTTGAACCAATCTATCTCTATTCTTCTGATAGTAATCTTTACTATATTGTAGAATCTTTTCTTTGTTATTTTGTTTATAATTTCGATTATAATCTAGTTTCTCATTTTTGTGTTGCTGGTAGTAATCCCTCATATATTCATTTTTCTTTAACCCTTTTTCTTCTTTATTTGCAGTTTTGTGAAGTTTTGTAATTTTGGTATTTGGTATCAAAGTTTCTCTATATTTTTCAATTTGGGGAGTAACCGATGATTCAGCCCCATCATTTAATATTTTATTTAACTTCTTTGAAGTTTCATCAACTCTATTAAATTCTTTTTGACTTTTATTATTTTTAACAGAATTAATTAAATTCCACAATATCGAATTGTAAATTAAAAATATTAAAATACTAATAAATTTCATTTTAAATTAATATAAAATATTTATTTAATAAATTAATTTTTATTAATTAACTCTAAATAGTAAAGATAATTAAATGAATATTGGTAAAAACACACGGTATATTTTGACAATATATTTAGTAATAAATGTACTTTTTCATGAGTATATCTAAAAGGGCAATATTTCTAAATATCGTCTAAACATTAAAGCCGACAATTATGAAATTTCAAAGGACATTTTCACAAACATTATAGAAAATCTTTAAAAAAATTCAAATTTCTAATGGTCAAATAAGTCTCAGAAGTAGATTTGTTTAATGCTGGGAAATTTTCGGAACCGAAATTTATGAATCTCTGTATCGGTGACCAAATTGAAAATTTTCGGATATCCTTTGAAATTTCATAATTGTCGGCTTTAATGTTTACAATGTATTTAGTAATATTGCCCTTTTACATTTAATCATGAAAAGTACATTTATTACAAAATATATTCTCAAAATACACCGGGTGTTTTTACTTATATTCATTTTAAATTATTTTTTTATTTAGTGTTAATTAATAAAAATTTATTAAAATAATTTTTCATATTAATTTAGAATGAAACGTTATAGTGTTTTAATCTTTTTAATTTTCAATTCAATATTATGGAGTTTAATTAATTCTGTTAAAAATAATAAAAATCAGAACGAATTAACTGGTGTTGAGGAAACAAAGGATTTAAATAAAAACAAAGGATTTTAATAAGCTCCTCAACTTCAAAAATATAAAGAAATATTAAAACCAAAACCTAAAATTACTAAAGTGTGCAAGAATGTCAACAAGTTGGCAGAAAAAATGACAAAGAAAAAAGAATATGACAACGAATATTACCAAAAGAATAAAGAAAAACTAAAAGAAAAAAGAAATTCTACAAATTATAAACAATTTAAGAAAGAATATAATTAAAACTACAGAAATAAGAATAATGAAAAGAAGAAAAGAAGCGAAAATATGATCGAAAATACCGAGAAGAGAAAAAAACGAAATTTCGATATTAAGAAATCCGATAACTTCATTCAAATAATCCAGAAATTTCTGATCTTCTAAAAAATTCAGATCACCTAAATCGTTCCATTCATTGAATTGCTGGTTGAAATGTCCATCTTTAATAATTTCTTGTTTATGAGGGCAAGTAATTGAATTTTTAAAATTATTTTCGCAATAATTATTTTGTGGATTAACGGATGATGTTCCTTTCCCATTATAAGAAGATTGAATTGGGGTATCCTTTTGTAATTGAATAATTTCTTGATCAAACTGAGTTCTCTTTGGTTCTCTTGAGGAGCAGCCGATGATTCAGCCCCATCATTAAATATTTTATTCAAAACCTTTGAGGTTTCCTCAACTTTAGTCAATTCGTTTTATTTTTTACTATTTTTAACAGAATTAATTAAACTCCATTATATCGAATTGAAAATCAAAAGGATTAAAATACATATGAGTTTCATCCTAAATTAATTTTAAAAATTCATTAAAATAATTTTTTAAGTGAATAAATAATTTTTATCTAATGAAAAGAGCAATATTTAAATTTACAAAGTTACAAGAAACGTTAAAACCAAAAGCTAAAATTACAAAAATGGAAACTACAACAAGAAATTATGAAGAAGAAAACATGTTAAAGAGAAAAGAATATCTATTATTATTCGTTTAATAATAAATTTTTTAAAATCGGAAATCTTGAAGCAAGTTATGGCTTTGTGTTGTTATGGCCGCGCGTTGTTTTGGGCGAGGCGCTCTTGTATGGCTAGATACAGCCTGTCTTTCGATTTTTGAAATCTTTTAGGAGTGCTCTTAAACATCTTTTAGGATTGCTTTTAAACATCTTTAATTTTTTATGTCAATTTATTCACTCTGTCTTAAAATAAAGTTTTACGAAATTTTTTCATAGAAGATTTATAAGCTCTAGTGTGAATATGCAAATAAATGCAAAATGCCAAAGAAAAATTAAATATTCAGAAAGCAAAGCATTTGTATTTTTACTTAGAATTCAAATCATCCTTTTTTTATTTGAAATTCAAGAATTTAGATTATTCAAAAATTCTGGATCATCCAAAAAACTTAAATCAAACACATCGTTCTGGCCTTCAGTCTGTTGAACAACATTTGCATCAGGGTATACAATCGAGTCAGGTAAATTGTTTACACAATCAGTAGTTGAATTAACAAGAGAATTTCCTTCAGAATTATTTATATGTCCATACACTTCACTAACTATTGGATCTTTTCCTTTACTTTCACAATTATTAGTTTGTGGATTAATAGAAGTTCCTAAATTATATCATATTGAAACTTTTTCACTTTTAAAATACCGTTTTTGTGAATTTCTTTTTGAATATTCTTCTGTCGGCGCATTCGGTCATATTCTCTCTTCTTTTCTTTATTCTTTAGGTAGTATTCATGATCTGTAGATTTCTTCCTTTCACTTATTCTCTCTTTATTCTTTTCCCAATATTTTCGACCATATTCTAGCTTTTCTTCTTTATTCTCTTGGTAATAATTTTTAAGATATTCCTTTCTTTTATCTTTGTTATTTTGTCGATAGTTTTTATTATATTGCTTTCTTTTCTCTTTATTTTTCTCGTAGTGATTTCTATTATATTCCTTTTTCTTTAACCTTTTTTCTTCTATATTTTTATTTATTTCCTTTTTTGTAATTGTAGGCGTTGGTTTTAACGTTTCTCCGTATTTTTGAATTTGAGGGGCAAACGATGATTCAGCCACATTATTTGATTTTTCATTTATAAGCAAGGTTCCGTCAGCTCTTTTTAACTCTTGTTGATTTTTGTTATTTTTAACAGAATTAATTAAATTCCATAAAATTGAATGGAAAATTAAAATGCTTAAAACATTAAATAATTTCATTCTAAATTAAATAAAAATTATTTTAATAAAGTTTATTAATTAACGCTAAATAATAAGGATAATTTAAAATGAATATAGGTAAAAACATCCGGTTTATTTTAAATATATTTTGTAATAAATGTTGTACTTTTTTATGATTATATGTAAAAGGGCAATATTGCTAAATACATATTTTGTAAACATTAAGCCAACAGATTATAAAATTAACCGACAAATTATGAAATCTCAAAGGACAGTCTAACAAACATCATAGAACATCATAGAAATTGAGGAAGCTTCAAAAGATTTCAATAATTCTTTATTCTATTATTATGGTATTATTTTAAATCGTATATTGTACATATCTATTTTTATCATTTAGTCTTTGTGCAGCAATCGATATACCCCATCATTTTATAATTTATTTAAATCCTTTGAAGTTCCTCACACTAGTTAACTCGTTTTGATTTTTATTATTTTCAACAGAATTAATTAAACTCCATAAAATCGTTAAGGATTACTCTTATGTTTAATTTTGTATTAATTTTATAAATTTTTTTAAAACATAAATCTTTTATTAATTAAAAACAATAATTTTAATTTAAAATTTGAAAGAACTCTCGGTATTTTACAATAAAACAAACATATGTATTTCATAGTGGAGTAAAAGGACATTCTTACTAAATATCATGGCGAAATTTGTTTTCTCAGACAATTATAAAAGCATTAAAAACGTTTGAGAAAATGTCAGTTGAGATTACATAATTCTAATAAATATTTTGACAATACATATGTATATTTAACAATAATGCCCTTTTACTACACTGTGAAAAATATTTTTATTTTGTATTCCATTCAATTTTTGATTAGTATAAAATTTATTATTTAATAATTTTTTAGAAATTAATTTAGAATGAAACTTATTAATGTTTTAATAATTTTAATTTTCAATTCGATATTATGGAGTTTAATTAATTCTGTTAAAAATAATAAAAACCAAAACGAGTTAACTAGAGTTGATGAAACTTCAAAGGATTTAAATAAAATATTTAATGATGGGGCTGAATCATCGGTTGCTCCCCAAGATGAAAAATTTAGAGAAACTCTGAAACCAACGAACAAAATTACAAAAAAGCACAAAACTGAAAACAATGAAGAAGAAACTAATTTAAAGCAAAAACAATATATGAAGGAGTACTACCAGCAACACAAAAAGGAGCTACTAGATTATAAACGAAATTATAAACAAAATAATAAAGAAAAGGTGCAACAATATAATAAAGATTACTATCAGAAGAATAGAGATAGAATGGTTCAAAGCAAGCAAAATTATAGTCAAGCAAATAAAGAAAAGATTCGCAAATCTAAACGAAAATACTATCTAAAGAAGAAAAAGGAACGAGAAATCCTACAAAAAGATAAGTCAGAATTAGGAAACATTCAAACTGATAATAATGAAGGAACTTCTTTTGTTACTCCACAAAACGATGATTTTATTAAAGCGGATACCAGAGGAAATAATGAGGACGAAAGGAAGTTAGCGCAAAAAGAATATAATAAAAATTATAATCAAAAGAATAAAGAAAAGAGAAGAGAATATAATAGAAATTCTTATTTAAAAAGAAAAAATAAAAAAGAAAATTCACAGAATGATAATTATTTAAATAAAGGAAAATCTCCGGTTGAATGTAACGAGAATGTTCAGATAAGTAATAAGGAAGGAAATGATAATACCGAAGGAAATTCATACGTTAATCTTCAGATGGATGAGGGTGTAATGAATAATTTGCAAAACCCAGAACAAGAAAATGATGAAGAGGGTAATGTTCAAACGCCAAATGCAAATTTTATTCGGCAGATTGAAGACATTAATGATGTGTTTGATCTGAGTTTTTTGGATGATCCAGATTTTTTGAATAATCTAAATTCTTGAAATTTCAAATAAACAAAAGGATGATTTGGATTTAAAATGGAAAACAAGAATCATGCTTTGCTACTTGAATATTTAATTTTTCTTTGACATTTTGCAGTTATTTGCAGATAGCCCAAGATTGCTTATAAATCTCCTATAAAAATTTAAATTTTTGAAATATCTGAATATGAAAACCCCTATTGGAAGTATTTATGACGAGAAAATATACATAATAATAAAATATACTACCATAATAATAAAGAAAGGAGGAGAGAATATGACCAAATGCGTCGACAGAAGAAGAATAATAAAAAAGAAATTCTTAAGAATGGTATTTTAAATATGAAAAAGTTCAATCTGATAATAATTTAGGAACTTCTATTAGATCACCGAATAATAATTGTGAAAATAAAGGAAAAGATCCAATATTTTGTGAAGAGATTGAAAAGATAAATAATTCAGAAGGAAATTTATTTAATTTAACTACTGATTGTATAGACAATTTACCTGACTCGATTGTATACCCTGTTAGAGAGGGTAATGCTCAAACAGCAGATGCAAATATTGTTCAACAGACTGAAAGCCAGAACGATGTGTTTGATCTAAGTTTTTTGGATGATCCAGATTTTTTTAATAATCTAAATTCGTGAAATTTTAGTTAAACAAAAGAATGATTTTGATTTTAAATAAGATAACAAAGATTAGCTTTGCTTTCCGAATATATAATTAATCTTTGGCTTTTTTTTGCAGATTGCCCACTTGTGTTTATAAATCTTATATAAAAATTTAAATTATTGAGCTATCTACTAATAATTTATAAAACGATGAACAAAAAATGTTCAATTAGACTCTGTCTTAAAATCTCTCTGTCTTAAAATAAAGTTTTACGAAATTTTTTAAAACTAAAACCTTTTTGAAGAAAACGAATGAGATATCATAAATAAACAAATGATATCTGAATCGTTGCGTATTTCGGTAAATATTTTTTAAATATTTTAACTAAAAATTAAAGAATGAAAATTTAATAAAAGCGAAAGATAGTGGAAAGATACTTTTCATTAATACAAAAAAAAAATATCAATTTCGTGATCAGATAATTTCATTTAAATAATCCAGAAATTTCTGATCTTCTAAAAAATTCAGATCGCCTAAATCGTTCCATTCATTTAATTGTTGGTTGAAATGCCCATCTTTAATATTTTCTTGCTTATGAGGGTCAGTAATTTGATTTTTTAAATTATTTTCGCAATCATTATTTTGTGGATTAATGGATGATGTTCCTTCCCCATTATAAGAAGATTGAATTGGGGTATCCTTTTGTAATTGGATAATTTCTTTATCTAACTGAAAGTTCTCTTTTGAAACAATTGAATTTTTTCCTTTATTTTCAGAGTCATTGTCAAAATTCACGTCTTTTAAACTTGACATATCATTTTGTTTAGATTCTTTTTCAATTTTCTTTCCCAATTGGTATTTTTTCTTATATTCTCTATTCCTTTCGATTATCCTTTTTTTATTCTTTTGATAATATTTTTTTGCAATTTGATTTATTTTTTCTTTATTCTTAATATTGTAATTTCGCTGCTTTTCAAAAATTTTTTCTTTATTCTTCTGATAGTATTTATTGTTATATTCTTTACTTTTTAACCTTTTTTCTTCGTCATTATTTCCAGTTTTATCATTTTTTGTAATTTTAGGTTTTGCTGTTAACGTTTCTTTATATTTTTGAATTTGAGGAGCAGCCGATGATTCAGCCCCAACATTTATTATTTTATTTAAACCCTTTGAAGTTTCCTCAACATTATTCAATTCGTTTTGATTTTTATTATTTTTAACAGAATTAATTAAACTCCATAATATCGAATTGAAAATTAAAATGATTAAAATACATATGAGTTTCATCCTAAATTAATTTTTAAAATTTTTTAAAGAGTAATCGAAATATAATTAAAGAAATAATTATTAACTTATAGTTAGACTTCTTATATTATTTGTTATTTAAATTAATAATTGTAATAAAACTTAAGCCGGAATATGTCTTAAAGACAGACATTTATGAAATATCAAAGTGCATTTATTAAGTAAACAATTTCCTTTAAATCATTATGGGAAAAGCAAATTTCGGAAATGAAAGGACACAGTCGTATTATTAGTAAATAAATTGAATTTATCATTTGTTTAAGACCTCTAACCATTAGTGTGATCAGTAACTAGGACACTGAACCTTGTTCAAAATATGGGTTTTTATGTGTAGCTTAATATTAAAAATTGATGAAATCTTTCTTTTTGCTATTGAATACTATTTATTTTTAAAATTACAATAAATTCCCAATAATAACTATATATGTATATATTCAATAATAAGTTTAATTTCAAAAGCACATATATTTTCCCACATTTCTAAAAAATTTAAAGAAAATTATTCAATAGTTGTCCTTTTAGATATCATATCAGTCTGACATTAAATAAATTTTGACTCATTTAATGAAACTTTAAGCCAAATAAAATAATATAAATATTCCAAGAGAAATGAATATAATTAATCATTTCATATAATAATAAAATTATTTTTTGAAAAATTTTTAAAATTTAATTAAAATGAAACTTATTAATGTTTTAATCGTTTTGATTTTCAATTCAATTTTATGGAGTTTAATTAATTCTGTTAAAAATAATGAAAATCTAAACGAGTCAACTAGAGTTGAGGAAACTTCAAAGGATTTAACTGAAATATTAGATGATGGGGCTGAATCATCGTTTGCCCCACAGATTCAAAAATATGGAGAAACATTAAAACCGACACCTAAAATTACAAAAAATGAAATAACTAAAAATAAAGAAGAAGAAAAAAGGTTGAAGAAAAAGGAATATAATAGAAAACACTACCAGAAAATAAAAGATAAAAGAAAGGAATATACTCAAAATTATCGACAAAAGAATAAAGAAAAGAAGCTGGAATATGATCGAAAATATCGGGAAAAGAATAAAGCGAGAATAAGTGAAAGGAAGAAATCTGCAAAATATAAACAATATATTCATGAATACTACCATAATAATAAAGAAAGGAGGAGAGAATATGACCAAATGCGTCGACAGAAGAAGAATAATCAAAAAGAAATTCACAAAAATGGTATTTTAAAAGTGAAAATAGTTCAATCAGATAATAATTTAGGAACTTCCATTAATTCGCCGAATAATAATTGTGAAAATAAAGGAAAAGATCAAATAGTTTGTGAAGAGTATGGACAGATAAATAATTCAGAAGAAAATTCTCTTGTTAATTCAACTACTGATTGTGTAAACAATTTATCCGATACGATTTTATACTCTGATAAAGAAGGTAATGCTCAAACAGCAGATGCAAATGTCGTTCAACAGACTGAAGGCCAGAACGATGTATTTGATCTAAGTTTTTTGGATGATCCAGATTTTTTGAATAATTTAAATTCTTGAAATTTCAAATAAACAGAAGGATGATCAGAATTTTATGACTGAAAACAAGAATCGTGCTTTGTTATTTGAATATTTAATTTTTCTTTGACATTTTGCAGTTATTTGCAGATAGCCCAATCTCCTATAAAAATTTAAATTTTTGAAATATATGAATATGAAAACCCCTATTGGAAGTATTTATGACGAGAAAATATACATACTCGTATCTAAGCTATGAAGAACAAGCCAAAAATTTGCCCGCTGGGCAAAAATTATCTTAGGTATCGTTAGTTTTTGGTCTTAAGTCTTGGGGGCAAGTTCTGCTCATGGGTCTTGGTATTAGCGTCTAGTCTTGGTCTTGTTTCAAGTCTTGGAAAAGTTTCCGTTTTAGATAGCTATAGTGAATCAATTGTGATTTTTATTAAAAAATACTATCGGTTTTCATAACAAAAATAGATTAACTTTTATTAAAAACAACGGATTTATTGTCTGGAAATTACAAATATTTATTTAAAAATTTATTAAATTATAAAACGATGAACAAAAAATGTTCAATTAGACTCTGTCTTAAAATCTCTCTGTCTTAAAATAAAGTTTTACGAAATTTTTTAAAACTAAAACCTTTTTGAAGAAAACGAATGAGATATCATAAATAAACAAATGATATCTGAATCGTTGCGTATTTCGGTAAATATTTTTTAAATATTTTAACTAAAAATTAAAGAATGAAAATTTAATAAAAGCGAAAGATAGTGGAAAGATACTTTTCATTAATACAAAAAAAAATTATCAATTTCGTGATCAGATAATTTCATTTAAATAATCCAGAAATTTCTGATCTTCTAAAAAATTCAGATCGCCTAAATCGTTCCATTCATTTAATTGTTGGTTGAAATGCCCATCTTTAATATTTTCTTGCTTATGAGGGTCAGTAATTTGATTTTTTAAATTATTTTCGCAATCATTATTTTGTGGATTAATGGATGATGTTCCTTCCCCATTATAAGAAGATTGAATTGGGGTATCCTTTTGTAATTGGATAATTTCTTTATCTAACTGAAAGTTCTCTTTTGAAACAATTGAATTTTTTCCTTTATCTTCAGAGTCATTATTTTTTCCCAATTGGTATTTTTTCTTATATTCCCTATTCTTTTCGTTTATCCTTTTTTTATTATTTTGATAATATTTTTTTGCAATTTGATTTATTTTTTCTTTATTCTTAATATTGTAATTTCGCTGCTTTTCAAAAATTTTTTCTTTATTCTTCTGATAGTATTCTTGTTATATTCTTTACTTTTTAACCTTTTTTCTTCGTCATTATTTACAGTTTTATCCTTTTTTTGCAACTTTAGGTTTTGCTGTTAACGTTTCTTTATATTTTTGAATTTGTGGAGCAGCCGATGATTCAGCCCCATAATCTAATATTTTATTTAAATCCTTTGAAGTTTCCTCAACTTTATTCAATTCGTTTTGATTTTTATTATTTTTTACAGAATTAATTAAACTCCATAATATCGAATTAAAAATTAAAATGATTAAAATACATATGAGTTTCATCCTAAATTAATTTTTAAAATTTTTTAAAGATTAATCGAAAAATAATTAAAGGAATAATTATTAACTTCTATTTAGACTTCTTATATTATTTGTTATTTAAATTGATAATTGTAATTAAAACTTAAACCGAAATATGACTTAAAGACAGACATTTATGAAATATCAAAGGGCATTTATTAAGTAAACAATTTCCTTTAAATCTTTATGGGAAAAGCAAATTTCGGAAATGAAAGTACACTGTCGTATTATTACAAAATAAATTGTATTTAGAATTATTTTAAGAACTCATTACACATTAGTGTGGTGAGTGACTAGGAAGCTGAACATTGTTCAAGATTTGGTTTTTGTGAGTAGCTTAATATTAAAAATTGATAAAATCTTTCTTCTTGTATTATTTATTTTTAAAATTACAATAAATTCCAAATAATAACTATATTTTCAATAATAAGTTTAATTTCAGAAGCACACATATTTTCCCACATTTCTAAAAAATTTAAAGAAAATTATTCAATAGTTGTCCTTTTAGATATCATATCAGTCTGACATTAAATAAATTTTGACTCATTTAATGAAACTTTAAGCCAAATAAAATAATATACATAAATAGTTTAAGAGAAATGAATATAATTAATCATTTCCATTAATAATAAAATTATTTTTGAAAAAATTTTTAAAATTAAATTAAAATGAAACTTATTAATGTTTTAATCGTTTTGATTTTCAATTCGATATTATGGAGTTTAATTAATTCTGTTAAAAATAATAAAAATCAAAAAAAAAATTAAATAGAGTTGAGGAAACTTCAAAGGATTTAACTGAAATATTAGATGATGGGGCTGAATCATCGTTTGCCCCACAGATTTTTTACCCAAGTTTAATTACCCAAGTTTGAGTTTAAGTTAAAAGTTAAAAACTTATGGAAATCGATAATTCAAATTCATCTAACATGTCAACACCGCTAACTATTAATGGTATTAACAACAAAAAACTGAAATTACACCAATTATCTAAAAAATTGACTAATTTCTCTGAGCAATTTTCAAAAGATATGCCACCATGGGCGGCAGCAATGCTAGAAATTTGTAATTCAGTTATGGAATTATGTAAGGATATTCTTACAAGTGAACAAGAACAACAACAATCCGAAACAAATCCTAAATCTTTATTTGGAGACCCTTTCTCTGCTAGCAACAAACATCAAAATTCCTCTTTTAATGATCAATCCTATTTTGCTAACATAATAAACAACGCTATTCTTGATGCTGACGAAATTAAATCTAAATCTAAAAGAGTGGTTATTGAACGAGCTCCAGACAACACAGACATCATTAATATAGCTAAAAAAATTGCGGCTGATTGTGGAGTGTCAGAAGATTTGTTGGAAAACGAAATTCATCGTCATCCACGTGAGTCTAAAGATGTTATAAATAAAAAACCAAGAATTGTTAAAATTCCATTCACCAACAAAAAATCTAGGGATAACTTTTTATACAATTTTCGTAAATGTCTCAAGAAAAATCCAACTTTTCCTCAGTTCATAACTGCAAGACGTGATATGACTCGTAATGAATTAAATATATTGTATAACTTGCGAAAGCAAGCATTTACTATGAATCAGGCCGAGAACATGTTTAAGTACATAGTTGTCGACCTGTCAATAATTACACTCAAAAATCCACAACCGCTCAGGGCAACCAAAAATAAATAGGGACACGCAGGCAAACCACAGACTAAAATAAATACTGGAAATTTTCAATCTTATAAATGTTTACTTTTCAATTCTAGATCCCTAGCTAATAAAATACCGGATTTAAATCAATTAATCGAAAATTCTAATTCACACATTATATTAATTAATGAAACATGGCAAATTGTTACTTAAAAAAGAAATTAACATTATAAACATCTACCGGCCACCAAATAGTTCAATTCTTAATAAAAAAAATTATTTAAATTCCTTTTAAATCAAACTGATCAAAAAACAATATTATGCGGAGATTTTAATATTAGACACATAAATTGGGATTCTAAGGAATTAACCGATAACTATGACAAGATCGCGAATATATTTTTAGAGTTTATAGGTCAAACCCAATTAAATCAACTTGTTACTGAACCGACTAGGGAAAATTCAATCCTAGACCTTATACTCACACCTACTACCAATTTAGTAAGAAATGTTAATGTTAGGGAGAATTTTTCAACTTCCGATCACAAAATGATAGAGTTTGAGTTATATGATCAGATCAAAGTAATTAAAAAACCAAAAATTTATGTCAGAGATTTAAGTAAATCCAATTTTAATAATTTGGCTCAAGTTATATTCCAAAATAATTTAGATCTAGGTATATTAACAAAGTTCACTGTGGAAGATAAATATAATTTTCTGACAAAAGAATTACTGTATCTTTATAACAAATATATACCGATAAGAACTTTGAATAAGATAATAAGGAAAACATACCCCAAACGGATTAATGAACTACACAAAGAATAACTTAGATTATTCAGAGTACTTAAAGAAAGAAAACATGATCAAAACTTAAGCCTTGAGTATAAAATCGTTTCAAGAAACCTGAAAAAACAACTAAAAATTCACCATAACACTAAGGAAGAAAAAATAATTAATAAAGGTGGAAATTCGATACATAAGTTTATTAGAAACAGACTTACCCAAGATAATAACATACCCTGTTTAATTGATAAGGAAAATAAATTTTACTTCAGTAATGAAGAAAAATGTAATATTTTGGGCAAAGAATTTCAAAAAAACTTCCAAAATAAAAATATTAACATATCAAATTGTAACAGAAATATAAGTCCAAAAACAAAATTTTCAGACATAGAGTTTAATACTAACATTGTGTGGGACGTCCTTAGATCACTTCCTGGCCGCAATTCAACTTCTCCGGATAATATTCCCTATATACTACTAAAATATTGCGCCGACCCACTTGCAAAATTAGTCACAGATATCTTTAGATGTATTATTGATAATGGACAAATTCCATCAATTTGGAAATCCTCGCTTATTATACCATTATATAAAAAGGGAGAAAAATCAGATCCAAAAAATTATCGTCCAATATCGCTAACATGCACATTATGTAGAATTTTTGAAAGAATTATTGCACAACAATTAACAAAATTCTTAGAAGATAATAAGTTCTTTAATAAAAATCAATTTGGATTTCTTAAATCAAGATCCACAACCACACAGTTGTTATCTACCATGGATGATTTTTATAACGCAATACAAGATGGATATAACATAGATATTATTTATATCGACTTTGCTAAGGCTTTTGACACTGTACCAATAAATATTCTTTTAGATAAATTAGAAAAGGCAGGCATAACCGGAAAAGTTTATGCATTTCTTAAAAACTTCATATCAGATAGGACTTTTAAGATTAAGATTGGTAACCAACTATCTCACAATTATGAAACATTTTCGGGCGTACCTCAAGGAAGTGTCTTAGGACCACTTTTATTCCTTATTTTTATAAATGATCTTCCTAATGAAATCCCTGAAGATGTTGGAGTAAAACTAAACGCAGACGATGTAAAACTATATATAGCTCATAAAAACGGCATAGAAAGAGAACAACTCAATAATGTTTTAAGAATACTTGAAAAATGGACAGAATTAAATGGTTTAGAAATATCCCCTAGCAAATGCTTTGCTTTATATCTAGGTAAAAATAACATGAAAAGAGAATATACCATACATGGATTAAAAGTACAAGAAACAGAATGTATTCGTGATCTTGGAATATTAATTGATTCAAAAATATCATTTAACAATCATATAAATATGATCATAAAAAACGCATATTTAAAAAGCTCCCAAATAATAAGAATCATTAAATCTAGAAATTTAAATCTCCTCGTTAATATATATAAGACATATATAAGACCCCAACTAGAATACGCAACTGAAGTATGGAATACACAGATGAAATATCAAATAGAGAAAATTGAAAAAATCCAAAAACTATTCACTAAAAATATTTACAAAAAATGTGGTTTAATCAAGGTCCCATATGAAGAAAGATTAAATACTTGTAAACTCGAAAAGTTATTAGATAGAAGAAAGGTTGCCGATCTGTCCACCGCCTTTAAAATTATAAAAGGTTTTACATCCCTTAATTCACAAAAATATTTTAATTTATCAAATAGATCCTTTCGCAGGCCTCTACTTCTTAGGTCAAAAAAATATACAAATAAAACAAAAAATAATTTCTTTCACAGAGTGGTAAATAACTGGAATAAACTTCCAACAGAGCCATTTAAAATAAATGATCCGAAAAAATTTAGAAGTCTCATTAAACAGTATTCTATAAAATACTAAGGACATTAAACCCTAGCGTGCGTGGTTTTCGAGTGTTTGTTTACTATTTATATATATATATATTTTTTTTTCATGTTTTTTTTGTTGTTGCTTTACATGTTGCTTCACATATTTTTTTTGCTTTGTATATATTTTTTACGCACCACTTTAATGTATTTTAAAATACCTGTGGTTTGCTGATAAATAAATAAATAAATAAATAAATTCAAAAATATGGAAAAACATTAAAACCGACACCTAAAATTACAAAAAACGAAATAAATAAAAATAAAGAAGAAAAAAGGTTGAAGAAAAAGGAATATAATAGAAATCACTACCAGAAAATAAAAGATAAAAGAAAGGAATATACTCGATATTATCGACGAAAGAATAAGGAAAAGAAGCTAGAATATGATCAAATATATCGAGAAAAGAATAAAGAGAAAATAAGTGAAAGGAAGAAATCTGCAAAATTTAAACAAAATATTCATGAATACATACTACCATAATAATAAAGAAAGGAGGACTTATTAATTCAAATACTGATTGTGTAAACAATTTATCCGACTAAATTGTATACTCTGATGAAGAGGGTAATGTTCAAACGCCAAATGCAAATTTTATTCGGCAGATTGAAGACATTAATGATGTGTTTGATCTGAGTTTTTTGGATGATCCAGATTTTTTGAATAATCTAAATTCTTGAAATTTCAAATAAACAAAAGGATGATTTGGATTTAAAATGGAAAACAAGAATCATGCTTTGCTACTTGAATATTTAATTTTTCTTTGACATTTTGCAGTTATTTGCAGATAGCCCAAGATTGCTTATAAATCTCCTATAAAAATTTAAATTTTTGAAATATCTGAATATGAAAACCCCTATTGGAAGTATTTATGACGAGAAAATATACATAATAATAAAATATACTACCATAATAATAAAGAAAGGAGGAGAGAATATGACCAAATGCGTCGACAGAAGAAGAATAATAAAAAAGAAATTCTTAAGAATGGTATTTTAAATATGAAAAAGTTCAATCTGATAATAATTTAGGAACTTCTATTAGATCACCGAATAATAATTGTGAAAATAAAGGAAAAGATCCAATATTTTGTGAAGAGATTGAAAAGATAAATAATTCAGAAGGAAATTTATTTAATTTAACTACTGATTGTATAGACAATTTACCTGACTCGATTGTATACCCTGTTAGAGAGGGTAATGCTCAAACAGCAGATGCAAATATTTTTCAACAGACTGAAAGCCAGAACGATGTGTTTGATCTAAGTTTTTTGGATGATCCAGATTTTTTGAATAATCTGAATTCGTGAAATTTCAAATAAACAGAAGGATGATCAAAATTTTATGACTGAAAATAAGAATCATGCTTTGATATTTGAATATTTAATTTTTTTTGACATTTTGCAGTTATTTCAGATAGCCCAATAGTGCTTATAAATCTCCTATAAAAATTTAAATTTTTGAAATATCTGAATATGAAAACCCCTATTGGAAGTATTTATGACGAGAAAATATACATTTTCGTGTCTAAGCTATGAAGAAATGCTATCTCGTGTCTAAGCTGTCTAAGCTATCTCGTGTCTACGCTGAGCTATGAAGCCGCTGGGCAAAAAATTATCATAGGTAACGTTAGTTTTTGGTCTTAAGTCTTGGGGGCAAGTTCTGCTCATGGTATTAGCGTCTAGTATTGGTCTTGTTTCAATTTTTGGAAAAATTTCCGTCTTGGATAGCTATAGTGAATCAATTGTTATTTATATTAAAAAATACTATTGTTTTCATAACAAAAATAGATTATCTTTTATTAAAAACAACGGATTAATTGTCTGTAAATTGCAAGAATTTATTTAAAAATTTATTAAAATTCTTTGTCTGATCGTAATAAACAATTTCAATTCAAAAATTAATAAAAATTTACTTAAGAAAAATAAATATGAAAAAAAGATAATCTTGTAGAGTATTTACATATAGCAACATATAAGAAAAAATAATACACAGAATGAAAAGTTATAGAATTTTGTGTTTTTATATTTAATATTCTAAATCAATCTGAAATATTTTCAAGAATTAAGGACAGAATCTAGATAATCCAAAAAATTCGTATCATCGAAAAAATTCTGATTAATTAAATCATCATGCTCATCCGCTTGTTGAATATGGTCGTCAGGCTGAACGTTTTGTCGTACATAAGTACAAGAAATTGGGTCGGATATATTATTTACACAATCATCCGTTTGTGGATTAACAAATGAATTTCCTTCAGTATTATCATGCCCTCCCTTATTACTTATCTGAACATTCTCGTTACATTCAACCGGAGATTTTCCTTTATTTAAATAATTATCATTCTGTGAATTTTCTTTTTTATTTTTTCTTTTTAAATAAGAATTTCTATTATATTCTCTTCTCTTTTCTTTATTCTTTTGATTATAATTTTTATTATATTCTTTTTGCGCTAACTTCCTTTCGTCCTCATTATTTCCTCTGGTATCCGCTTTAATAAAATCATTTTGTGGAGTAACAAAAGAAGTTCCTTCATTATTATCATTTTGAATGTTTCCTAATTTTGACTTATCATTTTGTAGGATTTCTCGTTCTTTTTTCTTCTTTAGGCGGTATTTTCGTTGATATTCGCGAAGCTTTTCTTTATTATATTGCCTATACTTTCGTTTATTTTGAACCAATTTATCTCTATTGTTCTGATAGTAATCTTTACTATTTTGTAGAATCTTTTCTTTGTTATTTTGGTAGTGGTTTGCAAAATATTTTTGTTTCTCCTTTTTGTTTTGCTGGTAGTAATCCTTCATATATTCTTTTTGTTTTAACTTAGTTTCTTCATTATTTTCAGTTGGTTTGTTCTTAGTTATTTTAGGTTTTATTTTTAATGTTTCTTCAGATATTTGAATTTGAGGATTAACCGATGATTCTGCTCCATCATTTAATATTTCAGTTAAGTCCTTTGAGGGTTCCTCAGCTCTTGTTAACACATTTTGATTTTTATTATTTTGAACAGATCACCTAAATCGTTCCATTCATTTAATTGCTGGTTGAAATGTCCATCTTTAATAATTTCTTGTTTATGAGGGCAAGTAATTGAATTTTTAAAATTATTTTCGCAATAATTATTTTGTGGATTAACGGATGATGTTCCTTTCCCATTATAAGAAGATTGAATTGGGGTATCCTTTTGTAATTGAATAATTTCTTGATCAAACTGAAAGTTCTCTTTGGTTCTCTTGAGGAGCAGCCGATGATTCAGCCTCATCATTAAATATTTTATTTAAATCTTTTGAAGTTTCCTCAACTCTATTTGAGGCGTTTTGATTTTTATTATTTTTAACAGAATTAATTAAATTCCATAATATCGAATTTAAAATTAAAAAGATTAAAACTCTAATGATTTTCATTCTAAACTAATATAAAAATTATTTTAATAAATTAACTTTTTTTATTTACGCTAAATAATAAAGATAATTTAGGTAAATTAGATAATATAATATAAAAATAAATAATAAATATAATAATAATATGTATATAAATAAAACGAATATATGTAAAAACAACCGGCTTATTTAGACAATATATTTTGTAATAAATGTACTTTTTCAGATTATATATAAAAGGGCAATATTGCTAAATTTTGTGTAAACATATTTAATAAAGCCGACAAATTATGAAATCTCAAAGGATGTTTTTACAGACATTAAAGAAAATCTTTTAATTAAAAAAATTTATAAAGGTAAATAAGGCTCAGAAGTAGGGGTTATTTGATCCTGGGAAACCTTCGGATCCGAAATTTATGGATATTCTGATCAGGTATCCGAAACGAAAATTTCCGGATATCCAGTTTTTTCCGGATACGGATTCTACACCCTTACTCTTAAGAGCAATATATATAAGAAATATAACATTACGAAGGCAATTTTATAAATTATAAAACAATAATTTCAATTTAAAATTTGAAAAGACACTCGGCATTTCTTAATAAAACAAACATATGTATTTCATAGTAGAGTAAAAGGTCATTGTTACTAAATATTTCTTACTCCCTTCAATTTTTAATTAATATAAATTTATTATTTAATAATTTTTTATAAATAAATTTAGAATGAAACCTGATAGTGTTTTAATTTTTTTATTCTTCAATTCGATTTTATGGAGTTTAATTAATTCTGTTAAAAATAATAAAAATCAAAATGAATTGTCTAGAGTTGAGAAAACCTCAAAGGATTTAAATAAAATATTAAATGATGGGGCTGAATCTTCGGTACTACTATATGTCCACTAATAAATTATTGATTGATGATAGACTACACAATTATAGGAGAGACAAATATCGGGCGAGGGGTGTTAGAGAAATTTTTCCCTGGCTGGCCGGAGGGGGCTGGCCAGTTATTGCCATTTTGTCCCGCGACAAAATGCCACTTATCAAAATGTCAAGGGACAAAATGCCCCATGACAAAATGTCAAGGGACAGAATGCCATTTTTTTTTAGAACGTCCTGGGACAAAATGTCAACTGCCAAGTTGCCAACTTTTAAAAATACTTTTAAAATAAAAGCCGCTGGGCAGTGATCGAACTGGCGACCTTCACGTTATTGGCGGATGCTCTACCGACTAAGCTACCAAGAAGCTAAATTACTTTTACTATTAATGTATCTTAAACCTAATCATTCATCTAAGGGGAAGTTTCTTAGAGTATCTATCATATTGTCTGCTTGAGTCTGAGTAATAAATCCATGGGTCCTTAAAAACTTAAGCATAAAAATCCAACAGAGAAAAATAATAGGTAATAATAGGGTGTATTGTATTACTAAAATCAATAATTCATAAGGCATCGGGGCATCTATATAATCTTTTTCTATAGTCAAAAAATCAAATGATTGATTGGAGAAATTACCAGTGTCAGAAATATTCTGCATTTTTGTTATTGAAAATAATAAAGGCTTCTTATGTATTAACCCAAATTCGAGTCAGATACAATATGGCGATTATAATCAATCATGAGCATCTGATCAAATTCTCCTAAAACAATCATCTCAACACCTCCCGTGGGAATTGGAGTATTGAATTCTAAGCGAATACTAGTCGTACCACTTCGCAAAAGCTCGAAACCGCATGAATCATCTAATGTGGAAGTTAAGGTGATTACAAAGAAGGTCCACCCGCTTTTAAATTTTTCCATAGAAATATCGAAGGATCGATCTGAATTAGCCATACCCAATGCTTCATACATGTCAACATAGGCGCGAACAAAGAGATCTTCTTTAAATTTTAATTTATAGGCGACCATGGGGTAAATATGCCCACCAGTATGAACTGAAATATCTCTCAAGTCATAGGGTAGAAAATTAAAAGGAGATAGACTAAAATCTCCATTGAAGGCCTTGTTACCTACTAGGGCAACTGTGATTCGCCGCGGGATACTTGCACTAAATGCATTGTATTCGATTTCAGTTCGTCCCGCAGTAAGAAAAGTTGACTTAATTTCAGTTTTACGAATTGCATAAGTGGCTGGTTTGGACTCTAGAGTCTTGTAAATATTCATGTTAAGGGATGGTTGAACTTCAATCATTTTTGCAAAAAGCTTAACGTCATGAACGTAGAGTCTATACTGATTCTCATCAGTAGAGTTTAGCTTTTGTAAGGCAAATGAATTTTTAGATCGATAAACGCTAAAATTAACATCTAAATTATTTAATAAAAATAATTCTTGATTTCCCAAATCAAAATCTAGGCGAGAAAGAAATTGGCATTTCTTGCCATTTGAAAAGAGAGAACTTCGCTTTAGGAAACCAAAGTCAATGCTATCATCATGTTTATCGGTTTTGTAATATCCGATGGATGCAAGAAAGTTAGATTTAACATTATTAGGAAATGAAAGTTCATTTGTTATATACGCCTTGTAAGGATAGAGAGTCCCACTATCGTACACTTCATTATTTCCCACTGTGACTTTTAATTGTTGAATAAATGTTTGGCCAATTCCCTGAATTGGGGCAATGCTTGTATCAGTAGCGGTAATTGCACTCCATTTATTGTCTCCGCCAATTTTTCAATGGAAAGCTCAAGATAGAGATAAGTACGCGATAAATCAGTCCAGAGATTATCGCTAAACAAACGAAATAAATAAGGAGAATCTTGGGTAATTGTACTTAAGGGAAGTATTTCACGGAAAAAGGAACGAACAACTGAAACGTTAGTAGGTGGAACAGTGAATATACTTAAGGCACTATTAAGAGCTAAGGGGCTGTTTTCGTTTATCTTCTTGCAGCAGCTCATTTTAATATGTACCAAGTGCGTCTACACGAAATCGTTTTTTGGTAGATTTTTTGCGCGATTTTCGTGAAGTCTTTGGAATAAAATTAGGGGGACCGATTTTTGAATATGGTCGTTTATTTATAGTTTTTACCTCTAAATCATGACTATCATTATTCATCTGACCTATTGCAGGGCGTTTCTCAACATTTTTATACCGCTTAAAATCAAAACCCTTCCCCTTTTGTTTGTCAACATTGTCTGCTGCTTTCTGAAGCAAATTCTTTAGACCAGATTTACCCTCATCTATAAGTGATTCCTTTAAATCTTTACCTTCTAAAACATTTGTTAGAACACGATTACCAGATTCCAAGCCCTGCCTACCAATGGCACTACCAATTTGTTTTCCATAAGGAATCAGGTATCGCAAAAAACTTCTAAATACAGATCCTAGACCACTGCCTCGTTGGTATGGGACACCTCGAAAAACATTATAACCACCCCATTGATGAACTGAATTGTCTAATGATAAATCGGTCAATGTTGACCAATCAACATGCGAGGGATCAAATTCGATATGCATTATTTTTAATATCAATGTAATAAATTCTCAACTATTTATACTAAATATCTTAGCGGAGACAAATTCCGAAACCAATTTGTCTGCGTCAACTCCTTTTAAATATTTAATTATCTTATCCATGGGCAATCCTTTACATCGCAGAAACAAGAAAAATATTACGTGTTGACCGCATGTGTACTGAAAGGAATTTTGAATTTGAATTCTATTAAAGCGAACGCTTTGAAATAAACTCAAATAGTTTCGTATATGTAAGCTTATTGGGGGCCATATCCCCAACGAATCATAATAATCTACACTTGGATATTGACAAAATATTGCTATCCAGTGACTACCAGCTTCCCTACTTGTATCAGTATTTACAACCATACAAAAGATTTTAAAATTAATGGGGTTAGGAATGGAATCCGAAGGGAAACAACCGATATAATAATATTTTGTGATGTTATTTCTATTTAATATTTTATTTATTTGTAAAGTGTTCATAACACATTAAAAATAGGGTGACTTTTTAAAATGGAGGGTTAATGTACAAGTTCCATATTGAAATGGCATTAGGGCTCCACTTGATGTTCTTATTTCAATAAAAATTTCATAAATTTCCTTTATTAGCAATTTATGATACTGTATAAAAAGAAATTGTTCTTCAACAATTTCATCTTGTTGACCCCTAATATTTACAATGCGTAAAACAGGAGCACTTACATCTCCAATCACCATGGGTTCGATTAGTCCAGGGGCATATACGTGAAAAGATGACACTCCCCCACTCATATCAGGTATAAATCTTGCTACCGTGGATTCGGATATATCATAAGATTCGAACCCTAAAATATAGGCAAGTTGATCTGTAATTTTAATATTTTTTATATATGTTTTATCTAGAGTCAGTGCGAAACGATTTTTCTTAGCATAAAACTCAAAGTTACACACAGATCCTGGCTTACGATAGACACTTATCCATTTTTCGAATCCAGTATCACTTGTTAATGAAATAATTTTTCTTTTATTTTCATCCAAACTATTATGGTATTCCAAAAGTAAATTAGAGTATATTTCTGGTTCAGTCATTATATTAATATTCTCTTCTGGTTCGTGTTCATTTTTGGTTGTATTATCTGCTAGCTTTTTGTTTTTTTCACCTTTTAAATTGATATATTCTTGCTTTGCTTGGGCTCTAAGTTCTTTTAACTTACCCAAATATTCTAAATGAAATATCCTCATTTTTTCTGATAAATCTTCACAACCTTCATTAAGAGATTTATCCAAACTTTCTTTTAATTGTTGAGGATTAACAAAACTAGAGGAAGGTACTTTTAAACTAACAATTTCCCCGGTCTGCCATGTTACAATAAAAAATTGTTCGGAAGTAGTACCAAGAGATGGCCATGTATGGGGGTAAACCATTACAGCTAATCCAACTGACCATTCTGAATTAAATTGCAATTTATGGGGTAATCGAACTCTGAACGAATTTGTTTTATTCCCGTCAACATTAGTATTAGAAGGTAAAACAATATAAAATGAAGTCATTTTAATTTAATAGTATTTCCCATTGCCCATCTATTTATATTATTTCCAAATAATTGAACTTGCAGGAACCCAACTATTATGTTTGGGAGCGTAACCCTTCCATTTTACTAAACACTGATCTTCGTTATCGATTCTCCGTTTCTTTAAAACCTTTTCTATATCATAAAATTTTTCATTATTCTTGAGTTCCTTTACCAAACACAAATCATCTGAATAGAACCACCCCCTTATTATTTCTCCCTCTTGATCACAAATTCTATATGTAGGTGGCTGGTGCGGTACTTCTCTTATTTTATTGATGATAAAAATCTCATTAGTGAAATTTGGCAAATATCCCTTCTGAAATACATGCTTGTACTTCTCTATTCTAACTTTATCCCCTACTGAAAACTTTTTGGTCTTCCAACGCTTTGGAGCAAATTCCTCAATGGCCTTTACTTTTAATCTCTTTCTTAATTCTTCAGCATTTCTATAAGAGACGTCCACAGGACGCATACCAATACTTGAATTATAAGAGTGGTTTATGGAAGAGACGGTACTTTATGGATATGTCACCCCCCTCCTATTTTGAGTCTCAGAGTTTTCATTATACGTTGAAAATGGTCAGAGATTATTTTCTTCTCCATGTCAATCATTTTCTTTCTTCAAGCAAAATAAGTGAAATGTGGTAAATGTAGAAACGAAATGAGTGAAATGTAAGTACAAAATATGTGAAAAGGCAAAATAAACAAGCAAAATACTTGAAAAAGAAGAAAATGATTGACATGGAGAAGAAAATAATCTCTGACCATTTTCTACGTATAAGGAAAACTCTGAGACTCAAAATAGGAGGGGGGGTGACATATCCATAAAGTACCGAAGAGACTATATCTTGAATAACGTCTATCCATTTTAATGTTCGTTTTTCAGTAAAGTAGCGATATAGTCGTTCTTTTATACTTCGATTAGCCCTTTCTGCCATTCCTGCGTGCCATTGCGGAGACGTAAGCATAGAAAAATGCTCCATTTCCAATGACTTAAAATATTTTTGGACATCTTTCGCTGTAAACTCAATTCCTTGATCTGTTAGTAATTTCCAAGGAACAATTTTTATTCTTGAAAACAATTTTTTAAAAGCATCAATCATATTCATACTTTGTTTACTCTTAACTGGTTCAACAAATATTTGACGGCTAAGTGTGTCAATACAAACTAATTGATATTTAAAACCTCTATTTTGACCGCTTAACCTATCAAAAATACTTAGATCAGCTTGCCATTCTGTATGTAAACCTGCCGCCAATGTATGCATTCGACTGTATTTTCTAACTACTCTTCTATGTAGAGTATAAGTATTTTGAGTTGATAGGTATTCTTTAACTTGGTCCCGAGTTATATTCTTATTAAATTTTCTAGCCTCCCGCAAGAGAGGTTCAATTGAAGTAAAACAAGTTGGAGAGTTAACATCCTTATATAAACGATCTAATATTTTTATTCGTTTCTCTTCTGATTTTTCCATAGGGATGGCTTAAACGAGAATGTACCGTTACCTGTTTGTTTTGACGAGGAGGAGGGAGGTAGAAGCAAATCTTTTAGGTATGTATGATTATCGATTCTTCGAATAAATTCGTTGTAGCCAATAGGTATTGGTTTCTTACGAACAGATTTATTCGAAAGTATATATTTTATAATTTTTTCAACGTTACTATTATATAATGGCTCTTGACCCCCTATTATTTTGGCTATTTTCAAGTCATCTGTTATACCTAAGGATCTAGAATTTTCTTTGACATATTTAAGAGCTTGTTCACTTGTGGTTGGATCACTTTCTTGTGAAAAATAATCACTTTCAACTTCTATATTTTTGTCTGCTATCCCCCTAGGGGGAACTTTCAATTTACCCGGTAGAAGTTTTTTGTTAATTTTAAAACCCGATATCTTTTTCCTTCTTTTGCGAACAATTTTTTGTATAGGTTTATTAGTTTCAATATTATTAGTATCATTATTTTTATCTACATTTTTATTTAATGTTTCTACAATTTCTTCAAAATTTTTAAGTTTAACATTTATAGGTTTCTCTTCTTTATCCCTTACAAGCTTATTATATCTCTTAAAGTCCTGCTCATAACGAGCGGCCTTTGTATGAGGGTCCAAAATGGAGTTATTTTCGGTACTTTGCAAACGCTCTCGAAATAAACCTAATGCAGTTCCATCAGCGTTGTTTGCCTTTTCTTCTGGGTTGTCTATGCCAATTAAACTCTTATAAAAATCTTCGGGTATTAGCAGCATTCTAGTTGCATGATGCATTTTGAGTAATTAATCAAGTTTGTCGCGTAATCATTATTTATATTATTTAGCAAGATATTCTACTACTAAGGGGAAAGCGATACTGGCAAGAAGACCCGCAACAGGTGGAAAACCACCCCCTTTCTGTATTAAAAGACGCCGAGCTGATTTGGCGCTTCGAGACCTACTAATTTTTCGGAGTAAAGCAGCTTGATTTTTCAGATTATTTATTCTTTTCCTATGAAATGGGAGTCGCCCTCTGAGTAAATTTAAACAAATTTCAACAAGACATAGTAATTGCTCTTCTGAAGCTTTGGAAATAATTTCATTAATTGATTTTTTCGATTTTGACTTAGCAAGAATACTATTTATTTATTTATTTATGAGCAACCACACGGTATAAAAATACACTAATAGTGGTGAAATTTAAAAGACAAATATATGTAAAAAGGACAAATATATGTAAAAAAAAGACAAATATATGTAAAAAATTAATTTAATGAGAATTATGTATTTGGTGTGTTTGGTGAAATAATTGTTTTGGTATACATTTTGTTAAAAAAAAATTTGTTTTACCTCACCAAACATTTAATAAATAGATTAAAACTTAAGGAAAAATGTTTCCGTTATCTGATATCCATTTTCTAATATATTTCCTGAATGGCTTTTTATGCATTATTATGGCTTTTTATGCATTATATATACTATTTAGGAAATTCGCATTTTTCTCTAATAAAGCACTAGCTGAAAATTTTTTCTTCATTTTGGAAGATATATAATTGGTTTCTCATTTTCATTTTGATATATATGTGTTCTAAGTCTAAGCAATTCGGGAGTACTGGGGTGTACATCAACTAATAAATATCCAAATGTTTCCTTTGTTGCATTAGCATATGCTTCCAAGAAATACTTTGTGCGTGAGGGAAAAAGTTGAGTAGCTAGAGTTCTAATTTGCAATGCCCCCGCAGGATTTCGCATTAATAATAAATAATGTGAATTATTTCGGGGAATTCTAAGTTCTTTGCTAAATAAATGTTGAGTAATTAATATAACACTTACACCCCAATTATGGGATCCACGTGTAAATACAGTGTCGAGGAGACGTTGGTCTATACCCACCATCAAATCGTCTAAAATCAATAGCAATGATCCTCCTGATTGTATAGCTTGTTTGTGTATAAAATCTTCCCCGGCATTTGGTAACCCGTTATGAACAATAACGCGGGTTTGTCCTTTATCAACAAAGCCGCTCCTTTGCATTTGCAAAATATTTTTATTCAATTCCCCATAGCAGTAAAATACCAACGAAATAGTTTTATCACCACTTACCATTTCCGTCAAATTTTTCAAAAATTTTTTAACCCATTCTGATTTTCCAGAACCAGTACTTCCGGAAACGATCATAGTAAAGGGATGTTTAAAAGTTGTGTGAATAAGGTCAATTCTTTCGAATCCTTCCATTTTTTATTTTTTAATAATTATATTTTTTTTCAGATTATATATATATAAATATATATATAACCCTTTTTTCGAATTTATTATTATTATCTTAATATTTATACAAACATGAACTTTAACGCTTTCAACAATTGGGCCGTCTGGGGAGTTCTTCCCGATGACGATGAAGATGAAAAGAACTCTTCGAAGCAAGAAGTGGAAGAAAATAAATCTGCGGAGAAAGTCTGTTTTTATTAATTAATATTATGTAATTTTTAAACATTTTCAGAAAGATGCTGCAATAATAGTGCCAGAAATTGGAGGAACTATAAATATTAATGAAAATTTACAAGATAAGAAGACTGAAGAAGATATTATGGATGATACTAATGAAAAAATACTCGAAATTGTTCTTGGCAGCGATGATGGTGATGATGAAGACGCCGAACATAAACCACTAGATTGGTTAGCTGAGATGGAAAAGAAGGATGAAGATATAAAAGAAGAGATGAACGAAGATAAGAAAGAGCCAGAAAATCCATTTATTGAACCAAAATGTGTTAATCCTGAGAAACCGTTGAATATCCCCATCATTAAACGCCGATCAATGCCATTGATAGAATATCTTTGTCAGCTACGTAAATGTGTGCTCAAGGAGATGCACGTATTATTCTACAATCTTGAGATACGACGGGAAATTATTTCGCATTTGCAAACTAATGTACAATTACGCACCTCTCATTTACCACCATCAAGGAATTTTATTGTCCGTTGTAACGACTTCACAGTACAATCAGCGTGCAATGTCCCAGCAATGGGGGGATATCTGGGAATTACGGTAAACTATATTAAGTAACTCAAATAAAATGTTAATTTAGGTCCGCGGATACTACTATGTCAAACACAACTTTAAATTGCGACACCCATATTTACCATGCGTAATCGAATTTGGTGGTGGCCATCATCGATCTTATTACCCGCTTGAAGTTCTCAGTGTAACAGAAAAGAACAAGCAGATGAAAGGCCATTAACTAATTAAGAATAAATAAATAATTATTTTTAAATTTAATTTAATTGTATATTCAAATTGTTTTTTTATTTCTTTGGAATTTCCTTCTCATTAAAAAACTTTTTGTAATTTTTATTTTTAGTAAATAAATGTTATGAATATTGAAAATTGTACATGTGTTTTTAAAATTTTGCCTGGTGTTCAACGATTTAAAATTGAAAATTTTCATCAAATAGCTCGAAATGGGATTAATACAGAATATAATCCGCAGCGTTTCCATGCTATAATAATGCGTATTAGACATCAAAATTATAAAACAACGGCAGCATTAATATTTCAATCTAGCAAAGTAGTATTAACTGGAGTTCCAAGTCCTGAGTACGCAAGAAAAATAGCTTGGAGGATAACGAAAAGTATAAAATCATCATATAAAGCGGCAAAATGCGAGGAAATGTATGAAATATGCGTTAGACACCTAAGAGTTACAAATATAGTTGGCTCTTATCGACAACCAAATAGATTAGCTATAGAGAATATTTATGGACATCTTAAACAACAAAGATTGATACAAAAGGATATTTGCCAAATATTCTACGAGCCATCTATATTTCCGGCACTTCGATTCAAAATGAAAAACAAAGAAGAAAAAGAAACTGCATATCTAATATACATCTCTGGACGGATTATTATGACAGGATTGACTAGTAAAACACAGATGGATAATTTGTTTGATAATTTTCTTTTACCTTTAGTTAAAAAATTTCCAAGATTATAAATTTATTGAATAAAAATTAATATCAAAAAATATTTAAAAATTGAAATATAAAAATTTTACTAAAATGATTGTGGATATCTTTGTAAATATTCATTTTCGGTCCATGCAGATGTTCCAGGAAGATCATGCAAGTCTAATTGAACACCCATTTGCTGAGTTGTATTTGATGTTCGTTTTCGTCTTCTGCTAATTGGAGAAACCTAAATTAATTAATCCTTTTCTTTAATAGTATTTTGAATTACCACATGTTGCTGATGGGGGCCTAATGTTTCAGTTCTGTAACCGAAAGGAAGTGTCTCCATGCTGGGTCTAATCCTCCCCTTCTCATAACAAGGGCGGTATTCCTTTCTAGCTAGATTGGTATAGAGTTCCGAGCGGCGAGTACGTCCAATTTGTGGAAACTCTACTCTAATACAATTATTTCTATCATTGTTGTTGTTGTTGTTGTTGTTGTTGAAAAGCAAATTTTCTGATAACATTTCATCTCTGAATTTAATAAAGATTTTTACCAAAAAATTTTTTACCTTACATTTCTCCATCAATATTAAATTGCCCAAGTACGAGTTCTTTCATTGACTGGAAGTTAAGCATTTGATGTGTAGCATACGATAGTGGAAAAGAGCGGATCTTTAGCTCTGCCCGTTCATCATTGCCAGTTGAAGCATCAACATGTCGGTACCCATAATTCTTTGGCCCTCCAGCTAGAAACTCAATTATTCGTCTTTCTGGATGTTCACGTTTCATTTGGCCTAGAGCCTCTCCCTCAGCCAGTCGTTCTCCACAAAGTTTTGCGACGTATATGAGAGAGTCAGTATCGCAGTAGAGTAAGCGCCCACCAACCCTTTGAACTTCTTCCATGTATCGATATAAATGTAGGCGCGCATAAGAAGTTACAAATGCAGCAACTGGTAGGCAGTTGGTTTCAGGTGGCTTGGCGAATTCTTGCTTCTTACGAACAACACACCTATCCATATATTCACTAACGTGGTCAAAGTCGAGAGTTTCAATTGTAGGGTCTTCTAGCAATTGATGAAATTCGACAGGTGTTCTTGCGTATTTAACATCAGTGCCACCAACACGTTGTGCCAATTTACCCCAAAGAGAATTCGCCAGAATTTTCTTAAAAATTAAAAAAATTTTTGTTGGTAGTTAAATAAACGTACAGCGATCAGTCTAAGACCAGGATTTACGGCAACTTTTTGTGGGTCCATTCTGATGCCTTCGACCCGTTCATATTCAGCAATGTAGTTGTCACGTTCCACCTGGTTTTCGCATCCTTGAGGCCAGCCACTTGCTTGCTGTTTCAAACAAATAAAGGTGTTGACATATGGTCGAAAGAGTTCTTGGTCCCATCGATCATATTGCCAAACCTAGACGTTAAATAATAAAAAATAATTATTAAATACCTCATGAACATCGATGACTTTATATCCCAGTTCAATTGCCCGATTGAGTTCAACATGTGTGTACCCGCTAACCCAAGATCGTTGACGATCCACATGTCGACAAGGGCTTTGTTGTTTGTTGTTAGCACACGTAGAACAAAAGGGGAAAGTTAACCTTCCATCATATGTTCTGTAAGCGAGCAGAGGTGGTAGTCCATTCAATGTTGTTGGTGGCAAAACTCTCACTAGAAGCAATCCTTGATAGATGTTTTGTTCTTTAGAAGTCCATGGTAGCGGGGTAGAAGACAAAAGAACTTCTCTTGTTAACACTCGAGGGTTTCCGATTGGAAACGAACATGTCTTCATCACATATGGGTATAGACTCACCTTAAGAATAATTATAATAAAATTTTAAAAAGCAGTAAAGTACTATATCAATGTAGAGAATCTCCTCATCTGCTGCACATTCATGATGGAGTTTGAATGGTTCAGTGCGGCCTCCCCTCAGGCAGTCATTTCTAGGATCCATAGGCTTCACACAATCAATTTCATCCCATTTACGCTTAAGTTGGGGGTTGTTACGAAGACGATCTTTCATTTCGTGTCCCCAAACAACATGTAGAGAATATCCATGTTGTTGCTCCAACTCGCAAAGGCGATTTTGGGTACGCTCATAAAGTTCTTCAGCGGTACGGCCTGCAGCCAAACGTTGGTCTCGTATTGGGAAGCATCGGGGGCATCCTGAATTTTAATTTTCTAATTAAACTAAAATTTTTTAAATATAAAATACCATGATAGTAACACCCCATATATTCATTTGCCAACGGTCTAAGTGGTGGGGACCGAAACCAGAGACCATCGAGACGATAACCACAATCTTCCACATGAGCCTCTCCAACTGCCCATTGAGCACATTGCACCTTCCCTCGAGCTTCTTCATTCTCCAATTCGAATAGACGAATATAACGCTGCGATTCTGCTGAAGCTCTTCTTCCTCTTAAATAACCACCTTCGGGAGAGTGAACTAGCCAGTTCTTTGGAAGAAAACAACGGCGCATAGTTGTTAAGGCAAGTCCTGCGGCAGTAGAAGCTGCTTGAAAAGGGTCAAGCCCCTGTGTATGTTCCCCAATAAGACGTCTGTAGCGAAGAACACTTTCACGCAGGATCGCGACGTCGTTGGCACAATATAAAATTAATTGTTCTCGTAATTGGAAATTAACACCGGAATTTATTTGTTGTTGTTGGTGGTGGTGCCATTCAATTAATTTAGCTCTCTTCTCAAATTTTTTAAAATCAGGTTGGTAATAGTGAAGCGCTGGCAAACCCCGAATCCTCTTATGTAAATTTTGTCGTTTTACGTAGAGGTAGGGGAAGAAAGGCTTTACTGTTGCAACTTCTTCTGGTAAAGAGAATATTTTTGGAAGAGCATCAAGCTCACAGATGAAATAATTTAACGAGTCTTTGAAGAGTAGTTTTCTTTGGTGATTACCACTCAGCCCCATAGAATAAATCTTCAAACCAGTTGTACATAAAAACTTTGGAGGTAGACTTCGCCTGTGAAGTGCTTCTAAAATTAGGTGGAAGTCATATTTCCCTCCGTTGTGGGCAATACATATTGTCAAAATATCTTGTGAACCATGCTAAATAATATTATAAATTTTGAAATAGAATTAAATTTTACATTTAGAAGATAGTCCAAGAATTGATCAACAGGATTTTCCTCTTCGTCGTCGAAACTGTGAAAGTACATTCGACGGGGATTATAAGAAAGTGCAGAGGGAACTTCTGTGTTGTCTCCTGTTGCATTTTTAAATGGAGGTGAACACCACTTTCGCCATTGATAATTTGATGGTTTACCACAAAAACATTCAGTTGCGCGCTGACCGATTTCATTAATTCCAATCCCCGCTTTAATGCAATTTTCACAAATAACTTCAGCGATTATTAGAAGAGGAATATGTTTATACCCATTGTTGTTTGAACTTATTTGCACAGGTTGATCTTGGCTTGTTTCGGCATCAAAAAAGCACAGCCTTAATTTTTGCCTTTTATTTTTATTCCTTCGTCCCTGTTCTTGTCCTTCATTTTCAGTTTCTGCTTCTTGATTGGCTTCCTCATAATTGTTATAATTTTGGTCAATAGGAAGCGGTTGAATAAAGCATGGCTGTTCAGGAAAATGAGGTCCTTTACACTTACTACATTCAACTGCCTGTTGTTGTATCGGTTGTTGTTGTTGTTGTTGGGCTATACAATTATGTAGTTGTTGTTGACCAAAGACTACATGCCCACAATTTGTGCAAATTCGGCGCGATTGACAAATTGAAGCAAATGGTCGTGATCGAGGCCCAGTCATTTCCTCGGGGGGATGGTTAGTTAAATGATGATCAAAGCATGACCGCTGAGGGAACACATAGCCACAATCATTGCACGGGATCCTCTCAATTATTTGACATGGATAATCCGGTCCTGTTCGCATACAGAGTCTACAAACTACACTACAACCAGCCCAGTGATATAAGCGAGTTACTCTCCTTTCACAATCAATACAAAAGCGATGAGCGCGAAACAGCTGCTCTGGCCTTCCAATGTAATTGTAGTGGTTATTTTGTAGCAGAAGGCAGATGTTAAACCTGGCAGCACGGACCGAACCTTTAGATAAATAAAATTTTGTGGAAAATTTAACAGGCTTACCTTTAAATACAATCCGATATTGTTGTTCTTTTTGGAAAACGACAATTCGAATTTCCCCTCCAATTGTTTGATTAACAAAATTTTGAATGGCAGTAACATGGTCGAGCGAATAATGTTGTAAATCAAGTCGAAGACCAGCATTCTGCATAAGTTCTACTGCTGCCTCTAAATGTTGCTCTTGTTGCCTGCAGAAAGAGCGAAATTGCTGCTGTTGTTGCGGGCCATTCACCTCCAGCAATCTAATTCGTTTGAGCCCTATGTTCACAGCACGTGCAAGACAATACCGGTCATTTGGATTAACCACTTGGACAATTGATCGGCATTGCAGTGTTAAGTTGTGTTCTATATCAACATTGCATGCACCTTGAATAACAGAAACGCCTTACATAGTTAATAATAATAATATGTAAAGCAAGACTGTTACTCACCTGTATGAACAGCTGGACTGTCTGTCAACTGGGCATTCAGAGGCCAAACAGCAACAACCTTAGTTACAGTGGTGCCCGCCAGCAAGTCAATTCCAGCTTGAGACATCTCATTAAGACGTTCAATTGCTGCGGCCAAAGCTGCAGGATTATTCTGAGCTGGTGGGCGTAGCGGCACCGTGAAAGGGTTGTGAAATGCTGGCGGGTGTAGTTGCAACCCAACTCGAAGCGGTGGAGGCCGGCCAGCTAATACCCGATCCAGTAATCGTGTGATTAGCGTTGTCATTGTTAAATCTGGCCGAGCATGTTCTTCAAGAGGGTTGAATCTCACATTACAGACCTCCCCTCTGGTATTTCGAGATCTTGAATTTAATTGCTGTACAGATTCGATTATAAATGGGTCGTTATTCATTTCTTGTTGAATTTGTACCTATAATTAAAAAATTTAAATTCCCATATAAGATTGAATACAATAATGTTTTTAAATTAAAGAAATTTTTAAATATTTGTAGGGTCTCTCTTTAAATTAGTTAAATACTAAATTAATTGGGTGAGGGGCAAAAGAAGGAATGCCAAAACACGGAACGGACAAAACATGGAACGACAAAACAAGGAACGACCAAAATACGGACCATACCAAAACACGGAACGACCAAAACACAGTCAAGAGAAAATTTTAAAAAACTTTTCAGGATTATTTTTAAATGTTGATTTTAAAAAAATTCTGATTTTAAAAATGTTCTGATTTTTAAAAATATTCTGATTTAAATAAATGAATTTAAAATTCTTATTTAAATAAATTCTGTTTTTTTTTAAATATATGATTTTAAAAGTATTCCGTGTTTTGGTCATTACGGGTTCTGGAGCCCGACACTACTTAATTGCCCATTTTCAAAACAAATCATCATCATTTGATTTATTCTTATAAAAACAATTTTATTTATTTAATAAAAAATGTAGGTATAATATGGTTTATAATTATTTAATAGTAAAAAAAGGCATATATTTAAAATAATTCTATGAAAATTAACTTATTTAAAAGATTAAGGCATGTATTTAAAATAATATTAAGACATTTTAAAAGTATTAAGGCAGACAAGTTAAAAAAAAATAAACTAGGTACTTTATTAATATCCCGCCCCCACCCTTATTTGAGTCTCAGATTTTGCTGTCTTTAATGTCAATCATTTTTCCTTAAAACATTACTGGTAAAGAGCAAGTATTAGGAAGGAAAAAATAGCCTTCGGCGGCAAAAATCGGTCTAGCGGAAAAATTTATCATTTATAAAGAAGGAAATCTGACCATTCCGAGGCATGAAAAAAAATTAATCTGAGACTCAAACAGGATTGTGGGCGAAATATTAATAAAGTAACAAAAACTAAGTATAAATAACATTAGCAAATAAAACAGGGATCCTCTTGCCTTAATTTTAAAAAGTAATAATTTTAGTATTAAGTATTGGCTGAGGATCCCTGCCCATCGCGTGCGCGCCCATCAACCGCCGCGCCATGAAGCATGTCACGGCGGCAATACGGGCACACACGCGAGCCTTGCGCCCACTGAACAAAACAATTATAATGCATTTTGTGGAGGCATGCCATAAAAACAACTCGGGTGCCTGCAAAAGGCTCCTGGCAAAAGCATTCTTCTTCTTGGGCGTCAAAATGAGGAGGGAGCGTTACCACATGTAATTCAAATTTTTTTACCTCTCGCGCTCCTAAACCCTCATTATCCTCATCATCCTCAGGGACCTCCAACTCCAAACCATTTTCACGGAAAAAATATGCAGGTCTGCGGGGTGGAGTCACTTCAACAACTTCTACGTCATCATCATCATCGTCATCGATGACAGCTCTCACTAAATTAAATTTTTTTGCTAGGTTAGAATTAAACTAGTACCCCTCCCTAAAATCAATACCCCCCTACCTAAAGACAACTTCACAACTAGAAAACTAACCGTTATTTTGAACGGCCTCTGGATTGACATATACTCCAAGAGGTGGAGTTCTTCCAATACGGCCACGCAAGCGTGGAGATACAGCCCTTGAAGCTGGGGGCCTTCCAGAAGCCCGGAGCGCCGATGTTGCAGCGGCCACTTCACGCTCACGGGCATTCTGGAAGGCCCAGAATGGTGATGGCGATGGGGGTGCTGCTGTTGAGGATGATGATGATGACTAGAAAACATTTTTAAAAACAAATATTTATTAATTAATTTTAAAAAATTTTTATTTTAAACCAGGGTTACGATCGACAAAAAACGATTTAAAAGTACATAGGGACTAAATTTCCAAATAAAAAGTACATTCCAAATTAAATTAGAAAATATTTATTCGGGCTCAAATCTTTTATATTTCTCTCCTAAATGAATCTTTTCTAATAATTCCTTGTTTCCACTGAGCATTATGTGCATTTAATTAATCATTTATATATTATTTAAATATTACAAACAATATTCATTATAAATAAATTATTAAAAAATTTCAACCACAAATAGAATTTTTAAAATAATAAAATTAAGAACTATATTTATGACCCTTACACAATTATTAAATTGATTAAAAATTAAAAAAAACACTTTTTTCAAAATATATACGTATATATTATTTCATCAGAAAATAAATAATTTTTTAAATTTTATCAAGAATTATTTCAATTTTATTTAATAATTTTAAAAATAAAAAAATTTTCAACATCTATGAATTAAAATTGACAAGCCTTAATTTAAATAAATTAAATTTAAAAAAACATTTCATTCTTAATTATTTTAACTTAATTAGATAATATTTAACAAACATATTTTTTTTCAAAAAAATATTATTACATCAGAGATAAAAATAATTTTTTAATTTTATCAAAGAAAAATAGCAAATTCAATTAAATTTAAAAATAGAAATTCACACCATTTATAAATTGTAATTGTCAAAAAACATTATTTAAAAAAATTAAATTAATTAGATAAAATTTAAAAAAACCAATTTTTCCAATTTTTAAATGAATTAGATGATATTTTAAAAATAAATATTTTTTTCAAAAAATATTACACCTGATTAAAAGAAAATTTTAATTTTATCAAAGACATGAATTTTATTTAATAAAAAATTATTAATTCCATTTAAAACTAGAAATTTCCAACTTTTATAAATTGCAATGTCAACAAACACGATTAATCTAAAAAAATTGAAATTAATTATACAAAATTAAAAAACAATTTTTTTCAAAAAATTTTAATTTAATTAATTAGATAATATTTTAAAAACAATTTTTTTCAAAAAAATATTATTACATCTGAGATTAAATAAAAAAATTTATATCCGTTTCCAAAATAGAAATTCTTAACATTTAGAAATTGAAATTGTCAAAAACACTATTAATTAAAAAAAATTTTTTAATTAATTATGTAAAATTTACAAAAAAATTTTTCAAAAAATATTTTAAATCTGGGATTAAATAAAAAAATTTAACTTTATCAATGACATATAAATTTTATTTAATAAATAATATAACAAAATTAGTCAAATTTAAAAATAGAAATTCAAACATTTATAAATTGAATTTATCAAAAAAAACATAAATAATTTTTTAATAAAATTTAATTAATTAATAAAATTTAAAAAACAAATATTTTTTTCAAAAAAAATATATTGCAAGAGAGATTAATAACATTTTTTCTTATTTTATCTAAAAAATATATGAATTTTATTTATTAAAAAATTTAACAAGGCTAATTAAATTTAGAAAATAGAAAACTTGAAGTTGTCAAAAAAATTTTTATTTTTTTTTACATTTGAAAACTGATTTTTTCGAAAAATATATGAATTTTTTTAAATCATGAAAATATTCAAAAATTAATTCTTTTGACAAAGCTCAGTTAATTTGATTAATACAAATAAAATGTATAAAAAAATTTTTATTACTAACTAAATTATTGAATTTAGAATAAAACATTTTTAATTAAGTGAAAATTATTTAACTTAAAAAATTACTTAAAAGAAAATCCAAATTATTTTTTTTAATTCTCCACATCAAATCTATTCATTTAATTACTTAAAAGAAAATATAAATTACTTAAAAGAATTTAGTAAAAATTTAACATTATTATATGTATTACTATTATTCGAAAATTTTAAATAATTTTAAAAAATTTTATATCTATATATTGAATAATTTTTCTAAAATATCTACCCCTCGTTGATCCGTAGCACGCTCACGATTTGCACGTGCAGTTGTCGAGACACGAGGAGTTGGTGCGGCAATAACGTTGTTTGATGAGCTGCTGCTGCTGCTTGGCCCCTGCATCTCTCTTTGCATGGCCATATTTCCTAATAAAAATTAAACGAAATATTTTTTTCCTATTATTATTATTACCAATAGGAAGTACATTGTTTGCCGTGCCGCCATTTGTTCCCTGCATCTCTCTGTGATTGGCCACATTTCCAACTAAAAATTAACCGAATATATTTTTTTTTAGATTATTATTATTATTCTTATTACCAATAGGAATGTTGTTGTTGTTATCAGCGGGAGCTTGCTGCAAATTATTATTGTTGTTATTTACGTTGTTGTTGTTGTTTGGCCCAGTAATAGCAAATGCTGACGCACGTGTAAATCGCAAAACAAAAGGTACGGTGCCCGTCCACCGTCCTCTATTGTCCCCTTGTTCCACCACCGTAAGTGCGGTAAATGTGCAGATCTTTATAAAAAAATCATCTCAAATAAAAAATTTTTTAAATTACCTCATTAACCCGGGCAGTCTCAAGAATAGCAGCGCATTGATCATAAGCATATATGCCAACAGTCTGAGTATCAGTGCCAAAGCCAAAACTAACACGAACGTCACACCGATCAAAGCTGCGTCTAAGAGTTGCACCACGATGTACAAATTGAACAACCCCAGTCAGAGAACTAAAATTTTTAAATTAAATTTTTAATTTTCTACACAAAAAATTACTTAAACACGTGATTTGTGCGCCACCCTGCAAAGGCATAATTGGAAGATGTCAGGCGATTGCGGATATCTATGAGTGGTAGAAGCATAGCCGCAGGCGGCATTTCAATAATATTAGCACGTGCCCTTTCAGCGGCTATTATTGCTTCCACCTTTATAGAAATAAAAAATTTTTTATTACACATAAAAAGAATTTTTATTAAAAATTAAATTTTTAATAACAAAATTAATTTAATTATTTGTAAAAATTACATCAATATTGTTGTTTGGTAAGTTATTTGGAAAGTTGTTGTTGTTAATGTTATTATTTGCAGCTGGTAGAATATTAAGCCCATTGTCGATCCGAGCTCTATTAGTAGGTGGCGCATCAGAAGAATTACTAGCTGGTCGTCGTCGATTGGAACTCATTATTAACTAAAAAATTAAAGTGAATATTAAAAAATTATTTTCATAAATTAAATTGAAAACGGTGGGAGATAATAAACTTTAATTTTATAAAATATTTACAAAAAAAAATAAATAAAATTTATAAAATGAAGTAATGAATTAATGAAATAAGAAGGGGTTCATTTTTGCTCCTTGCACAACCCGCCCATCTACTCGGAAATTTTGTAAAGTTTGACCCGACTGAGAAAAAAAGTTTTTAGGTCTTTTTATATTATAAACTTAATTGTTTTTAAATTTCCATCAATTTTTTATAGTCGGAAGTAACTTGTACTTCACACAATCTTTTTTACAAAAGGTTGACCGGAAAGAGAAAAAAGGAGCAAAAACCAACCCAAAAAGTCAACTTTTTTGAAAGATCAAAACTATTTAATTTTTAAAAAATTTTTAAAAATTACTTCAACTGTATATTTATCGATGCATGCCCAGCAATATCCATTTTCCTCCCAATATAATTTGGTCTGCAACGGCACATACCCTCAGCACTATCGCAGTGATTGTCATAAGCGCCACCAGGATCGCAATCACTAGAAAAATATTTAAAAAATTAGTCGAATTTATAAAATATATTTAAATCAAAAATTTTAATTAAATTCATAATTAAATTTTAAAAAAATCCAACATTATGGATATGTTTCATAAAAATTTTACAAAAAAAAATAAAGCCAAATATAAAATTTTTTACCAAGTCTTGCATCCATTAGGATCGTCAACACTTGGTCCATAATGTTCTTGAAGACAATGATCACATTGTTCTTCCATTACAAGAGCTTTACATGTACATTTTCCTGTCACTTTGTCCCAACCTTCATTCCCATAAGTCCCAATTAGATTCCAAGAACATGGCCGACAACCATCAGGATCTTCTTTTCTCATTTCCCAAAATCCATTTTTACATCGATCACAACTTAAGATAATTAAGAAAATTTGTTGTTTTCTCAATATTTTTAAAATTACTTTGGCCCATCAACATTGCTTTTGCAATAACATTTTCCTGCAAACAATCCACGTTCTGGGTCTTCTTCACCCTCACAAATTCATTCGAATTTAGAACCACTGTGACCGCAGTAGCAGGGTCTGCAGACGTATGGATCTCGAATGAATCTAAAAATATTGCAGTTAAAGAAAACCTATCAAGAATTATTCAAATTCCGAATTTTTTATTTTCGAAACCCAAAAAAAAAAGATCAATTACTTAAACAAAGTCAATGAAATTTTTAAATATCGGGACTTTGTAAAATTCAGTAAAATTAAAATATTCTCTGAAATAAATAATCCTCGTTTATAGAATATATTGAAAGGGGATTAGAAAATAAATATTATTATTAACTTTAATCTTTATTTTATCTAGATGTCCATAGTATATCCTTAAATCGCCTAAATATCAAATACAACTTTGCCATTTTTTTCAAAATTTTTACCTTTGAGGATCTCGATAGAAATTAGGTTTGCATTGCTCGCAGTTTTTCCCCATTGTGTTATGTTGACAATCATCACAAACACCTCCAGAAGAAAACCCAGAAGCATTATAAACTGCCCAATCAAAATGGCAACTAAAAAAATATTTTTAAATTTATTTTAAAATATTTAATTACCGAGTAGCATGATCATTACATTCGCATCTTTTACATTCATTTGATTGATCTTCAATGCCTGGTCTCCATGGTGAATCGTTGTAAAAGTCTTCGCAGTCATCACTATTCATTCCATTCATGTTATGAGTACATTCACATTTTCCATGTCCCATATCTGGCAATCTTAAAAGTTAAAAGTTGGGAGTGTCAACATTTATTGAATATTTGATGGAAAATTAAAAATAATTTTTAAATAAAGATTCTGAACAGGTAAAGCTGTCCGAGTAGATCAAAATACTTAACAGACATTGTCTAAATATCATCGGAAATTATACTAATTACTATGCAGTTAGTATAGTTCAATTTAATAAAATATAATTATTTTTATTACATTGCAAATATCAAAGGCAGTTGTTTCAAAAACAAGTACAGGACCTGTAGAGCCAATTATAGTTAGAGGCTGGCCACTGAACAAGTGATATATGATGCCACAGATCGCACCGCTAGCTAAGTTCTGCATTACTGCCTTTAAAAGAATTAAAAATATTCCTTTAATTAAATAACCATTCTTTGATGAGTAGCTTCTTCAAGAAGACACCAAAAGTTACAATTGGGGCCAACAGTGCAAAATACATAAAACAAGTAGTTGCTATACATTGAAGGTTTGACGCATCAGTAAAATCGGATAAATAATGTGGGGCTTTCCGACTTCAAAAATTAAAATTTATTTTTAAATTAACACACCGAATATCTAACATTAAACCCCCAAACAATTTCCCAGTTCTGCGTAAACCCGGATCTTGACCGTGACCGTCCTCTTCTTCTAAATCAGTTACAATTAATAACATTAAAAATTATTTTTTTAAAACCTTTTTCCCAGCAAGTTTAGAACCTCCAATTCCACAAGGTAATCCAGTTGTGGAATCCTCAGTACTAGTTCCTGCCAATTAATTGAGGAAAATTTGTCACTTCTAGCTGAGGGCTTTTGCTAATAATTTTAAATTTTAATATATATATAAGTATTCTAAAATACACTAACTTGAATACGGCTCTGTTGATTAGGAATTGTACTAGGAGGCTCAATTCGAATGCTAAAAATTAAAAACAATAATTTATATTTATTTATCAAAAAATTCCGACCTCGGATCCCATTCGCCGGTCATTAAACGGCCAATGCATCTAAGACTTCATCAAACCATCTAGTAATTCCGAACGTTGTTTTGCCTTGTAGGCAACTTTATGGAATAACCACCACAAGTATTAAGGCAGCAAGTTCCCCGTCACTCCAAATTTGGTGACGGGGAACTTGGAGAATCTGCTAAAAAATTAAAAGTTGCAAACAATAGTTAATGCAAGAAAAAATTAAAATAAAACGGGCAAAATAAATATCACTGTAAAATATCTGAAAGCAAAAGAATTGGATAAAAAATTTCTATCGATTTACTTAAAAACACCTAGTTGTTAAAGAGAGTATGCCCCTGTAGAAAGAAAAATATAGCCAAACATTTTTGTTCTTAGTAACAATGGCGAACAAAATAAAAAGTATAATATACATAACACCAAATGTTTAACACTATGCCAAATACATTATTTGAAAATTTTCCATTTTAAAATTGGCACTTTGAAATTTAGGTATTTTTAATCTTTTTCTTACTGTACACCTCAATTGAGTACCAACTCAACTGAGTCCCGGACCCTATAACTTACGAAGGAAAGGTCACTATTTTTTTTGCTCTAGGTACCATTGGATAGAGCATTAAATAGGCTACTGGTAAAAAAAAAAGTTATGATCTATAAAGTGACGAAAAATCAGATTTTTTTGAAAAAGTTAGTTTTTTAAATCATTGCTTTTTTTTTAACAATCAATCAAAAATTTTGCGTTTTTGGTAGATTTGGAAATTTGAACAAAGGACATTTAAAGTATTCAACAGTTCAATAGTAAAAAAGCTTTCCAATAGGTTCATGATGCATTAATAGTAAAATTGATTTAGCTTCTTAATAGCTTAGTTGGTAGAGCATCCGCCTATACAGAGAAGGTCGCCAGTTCGATCACTGCCGAGCGGCTTTTATTTTAAAAGTATTTTTAAAAATTGGCAACTTGGCAGTTGACATTTTGTCCCAGGACGTTTTGTCATGTGGCATTTTGTCGCTGGACCAATTGGCCGACCGCTCAGGCCAGCCCCCTCCGGCCGGCCAAGGAAAAATTTCTCTAACCCCCCTCGCCCGATATTTGTCTCTCCTATAATCGTGTAGTCTATCATCAATCAATAATTTATTAGTGGACATATAGTAGTTTCGGTTGCTCCCCGAATTGAAAACTATAGAGATACTTTAAAACCAACTACCAAAATTACAAAAAAGCAATTAACTTGAAATAATGAAGAAAAAAAGTTAAAACAAAAAGAATATATGAAGAATTACTACCAGCAACACAAAAAGGAGATACAAAAACATTCTAGGAATTACTACCAAAATAATAAAGAAAAGAAGCTACAATATAAGAAAAATTACTATCAGAAGAATAGAGATAGAATATCTCAATATAAACGAAAGTACAAGCAAGATAATAAAGATAAGACTTGCGAATATAAACGAAAATACTATCTAAAGAAGAAAAAGGAACGAGAAACCCTACAAAAAGATAGGTCGGAATTGGGAAACATACAACATGATAATAATGAAGGAACTTCTTCTGTTACTCCACAAAACGATGAGTTTATTAGAAAGGGCACTACAGGAAATAATGAGGATGAAAAAAAGTTAGCGATAAAAGAATATAATAAGAATTACTATCAAAAGAATAAGGAAAAGATCCGTGAATCTAGTATGGATAAGAAGGAAAAGAGAAGAGAATATAATAAAATATATTATTTAAAAAGAAAAAATCAAAAAGAAAATTCACAGAATGATAATTATATCAATAAAGGCAAATCGCCAATTGAAATTAACGAGAATGTTCAGATAAATAATAAGGAAGGAAATGATAATATTGAAGGAAATTCATGCGCTAATCAACAGCCGGATGAGGGTGCACTAAATAATTTCAACAACCAGGAACAAGTAAATGTCCAAGAATTAGATGATGGGCATTCAATTCCACAAATGGGCGAAATGAATGATTTAGAATATATTAAATTTTTGAATGATCTAAACTTTTTGGATAATCAGAATTTTTTATTTTGATATGAAATTTTCAGATTACCGAATTTAATTACTTTTTTGAACCAAATACTAAAAATATACTTTTACACCAAATTTAATAACATAAATTGTCTTTTTCCTTTCACTACACATTATTTTAATTAAATCATTTTTCCTTTTCTAAATTATATGTATATTTAAGATAAAATATTAATTTCTATTCAACTTAGAGTGACGTAACAAGTTGAAAAATGAAATATAGTAAAAGTAATGAATTGAGTAGTTAAAGTTAAAAAAACTTGTCCATGTAGACAAAGTTAAAGGTAAACACATTTTGAAAGAGGGCAAAAAATATAAGCTAATAAATGGCGGCTGGTACATAAAAAGAAAATTAAATAGATGCGCTTAGTTAATAAAATAGAACTAATTTTAAATACAAAAGTAAGTCAGAAATAAGTTTAGATTAGACAAAAGACGGGGCAAATTTAATAGAAATAATCTTAACTAACTAACAAAAATAAACATTAAACTATTTATGATTAATCACTGGTCGCTGTCCGCGACACTATCGGTAAAGAACGAACAAACACAAGATGCTGGAGCTTTTTCTCCAGCCACTTCTGACTTAATTTACAGATTTAAAATTTTCTGGGCATATGTATTAATTTATTAAGTTTTAATTTGTACATATTTATCAACATCAATTTCTTTTTGATCGTCACCATGTGTTGCATTACATTTATTGTTGCAATCTATTTGGCCGGAATAAACATTATTATTAGGCGACATTTTTAAGTTTTTAGATCTTGTAAAACAACTCATCACCAAGCCGATCTCATGCAGCAACTCTGAATCTTCAATAACATTTAAATTTTAAAGTTTTATAATTAATTTTTAATTTATATAATTAAGAAATAAATTTTAATATTTATCTTAATCAATAATCAAAGTCTCTCGCTTTTAATTTTCCCCTAGATACGAGTTTTAAAATGAAAGATACAAAAAAGGGCATATTAATAGTTAAACACGTGTAACTGAGTAGCGAAAGGTCAAATTATGGGAGGGAAGGGAGGCAAGAGGTAATGGAAATTCGAGTGAGAGGGATTTTAAGCAGCTCTGTATTTTGTATTATTGACTATCAGAGGCAGTTTAAAATTCATTAAAAAAATTTCTCCTTATAAAAATTATTTTAATTTAATTTAAAAGTCTAATAATATAGGTAATTTAAATAAAAGTAAGGGCTAAAAACTTAAAAAATGCTCACCCCCCCCCCTCTTCTAAAAAAGCGCTGCAATGTCCTCTGCTTAACCAAATAAACTAGATTAACCTAAAGATTATAAAACCAGGATCAACATACGGAGAGGAATAATTTTTTATAATTGGGATTCCAATAACTAACGAATTTTTAGTATATGTAATTGCGGCAAACCTATAGATTCTGTTCGTGACGAGATGTTATTCAAAAGTCGCATTCGTTTAAATTTTAGAATCATAGTGTTAGTGGCTATCTGGAACGCTCCATTTTTTAAAATTTGTCACAAGTTTTTTTGTAAAATAATATTTTGTAAAATAAAATAGTATTGTAAAGTAATTAAGTAAAATATGATAATATTAAAATTATAAAAAGTAAACACACGTAACTCAACATCCAAAAATTTTAGACTGCCGATGTATGGTCTCAGTCATTTTTTGTGATTATTAATAGAATTTTTGGAAAGTCTCGCTAAGAAATAAAAATTTCCTTCAAATTTTCTCTATTTATTTTCAGATGAAAATCTTAATTTATTTAATTTTGTGTTCAATTAATGTTGCTGCATATTATGAAATAAGACCATCACCATTTAAAATTTTATTTAGAATGGATGAACTAAACAGAGCATTCTATGGAAAGCGTTATGAAATTAAAAGTTTAGAAAATGGAATGAGGTTTTTAACATTATAGAAAATATTTTTAAAAATATATTTGCTCCCGCGAGACGCTCCCGCAAAACGCTGCTCAGAGCTCTGGATTTGGTAAATGTCCAGTTGCCTCTCTAACTGTCCGCAAATACCTAATATCTGTATTTTTCATTTTATTCTTTAAATTTTTGGCGCTAGGTGAGGCACACCTAATTAATGAAAACAAATCTATGGATAAGTTTGTCGGTTCTAGGAAATTTTCAAAAATTAATTTTTTAGAAATTAAAGATTTGCCTTTACATAATTAGCCATTTTTTGTGATTATCAGTGATAAATGCTCGCTTACACGCTGCTCTACCATGAGCTTCTTAGGCGAAGGATCCTACTGGGTGAAATAGATCCTACAGAATAAAAAAGGCAACACGAACTTAATAATCCAAATATTTATTAAGCACGGTTATGTACCTAAAACACGTCACGGATATAAAAACTGAGCCTAAATTGATGGGTTTAACTTAATTAGTTATTGGCTTAGGACAAATCTAATAATTTTATTTTATAGCCAATTAACTCATCCTCCTGACATCTTTCCTCTCAATTATTTAAACGATGCATATGTTCGACTTTGTGTTAGTTTTTTTATTCAAAAATTTAAAATTCATTGTTTTTGTTTGAAGGATAATTTTGATAATATTGGCCTTAGAACTCAATTTTTTCAATTATTAAACAGAACTTCAATATTTCAAAAAGCTGCAAGATTATTTTACGAAAATAAGAAAAAAATGAATTTTGTTGAAAAAGTTGAACAACTTTTATTTTCTGTAGAAGAACCGCGTTAGTTTATTAAAAATAATTTTTTAATTTATCTTATATAAACTTTACATTAACTTATCTTTACAAAAGAAGTTACCGTATTTCCTATAATAGTACTCCCGGGAGTATTATTTTTCATTCTTTGAAAATTCATTCTTTGAATAATACTCAACATAGGGGAGTTTTTAAACGACCAAGTTCTTATGATACAGTTTTAACAACTTGCTCTTATGATAGGTCCCAGAGGGGAGTTTTATTTAAAGGGGCAATGCTATTTAATTCAGGAAATACGGTATACTTTATAAAATTAATGACCGAGTATGATTCTTGTACATATATGGTTCTTGAAACTAAAATCGTACAAGGTCCTAGCACATATTAGTGTTTTAGAAGGCCTTGAATTATATAAAGAATTCAGCCATGAAGCCATCTAAACAACTGAAAAATTTTAATTATTAATTTTAAAATAATTTAAGAATTCTACTCCCACAGCAACATAAAACAGGCAGAGGGTGCAACCAGCCTTTCAGTGCGGGAGTATGGTTTAGTTGGTTAGTGACAGCGAAAAATGCACAAGGTTCGAATCCTTTCAGTGAAAATGAATTATATAATAAGGAAATCCTAATAATATCTTTTCTAATTAACATTTAATGTCATTTTAAATTAAAATAAATTTTTTCAAATCAATCTTTCCTTTATTTTTCATTTTCTAAATTTACTTATAAAACCATATGTAACTTTTTTTAAACATATTAAAAATCAATAAATTTGGTTTTAAAACAAAGATAAGACTTTGTTTAACGATTTGGCTAAGTTGAAATTTTTTTCTCAAAGTTTTTTTTCGAGATAAAGCTTCTCGAAATTATACATCAAATCTTTAGAGAAATAGCATGCGAAAAAAATAGAGCGATATAGAAAAAGAGAAAATTTTTCATTTATTTCAGTGCCACTGAAACGGCTCTAAGTTGCAGGTTATGTTGCTGTGTACTCCCTGTTTTGCCAATTCACACAAGGGAAGGGAATTTGGCATTCTTTTCTACGTGAACAATCAAAGATGGAAATCCAGTCTTTGAAGTTTAAAAACAACACTGTATAAATTAAAAATAAATTTTGATAAGCTTGTTTATAAGTGTGGGGGAGTGATACATAGTAAATAAGAGGTGAAAAGTGTTTACTTATAGCCGTTATTCTGGGTATTGAGACTGAATCGACCATACTGGAGGCCAAACATTATTGGAATATATCTCAAAAAAGAAGTCAAATTTTAGCTAAATTTTTAAAATTAAAGGAAGAAATAAAAGATATGCAAGTTGAATTTATAGAAAATGGGAAGTTGAAAAAAAGAAGGATTATAATTGGAACTAGTTTGGAATTTGAAATTGCCGTTTTCTCATTTTGTGCATTGTCATATAAGAAAATGGGGAAATGGAAGGTTATATTTATTTTAAATTTGATAATCAAGATCTATAGTAAGGAGTTTAATTAAGTAAGAACCTATTAAAGTGAGAACTTGAATTAAACATCTATCGAATTTTATAATGTTTTAATAAGGATTAAAAACACAGTTGTATTGTAATAACAATCGTGATTTTACTTAATATGCAAAAATTAAATGAATAAATCACATAAATTTTTTAGAAGTTCATAAGTTAGTATAATGTTTTAATTATATTCATACATAATCTTGCTATAGTTTTGAATTTTCACGTTTGGGAGTTTGTTTAAAACTCCATAAGATTATTATACAAAATTTAAAAACTTTAATATTTCATTATTTAACACTAAACATAAATACCTTAGTTGAATTAGATGCTTATTTCGTTAAATACTGAAATGGAGCTTCACTTTGGTGTATTGTTGAAAAATATATCACTTAGGCTCAATTAAACAATGTTTAAACTTAAGTGAAATTCTTTGTTTAAATTAATGTCCAATAATAATAATGCAAGATTATCATTTTAGCATTGTTCAGCTCCAATTGATGGCGGATATCTTTTTGATATGGGAATTAAAATGTCAAATAAAGTTGGGCATTTAAACGTAACAAAACTAAATTTTTATTTTATAATCTTAAAATAATACCAGATAATTTGGTATACCAAAATTATGAAAAGAGAAAAAGGAAAGCCTAAAACTGATCCAGCTTTTCAAAAATTAGTTGACCAACTTTGGGAAAATGATGTTGATAGAATTGACGAATCTGGTATATTATCTAAACAATTTTTTTTGAAATTTTAATTTATTAAGCTATTCGCCTTAATTGGCAAGGAAAACTTAAGAAAGGCCAAGTTAAGGACATTTCGCCTGCTCCGTAAGTTTATTTAATTAAAAAAACCATGACTTTACCCCGAGACCTAGACCGAAAAAACAAAGAAAATTATGAGTTAAGACTTGGACGTCAATTAATTATTCCTTTTTATTGAGAGGTTGAAATATGATTATTTTCCTTTTTCCATCTTTTGCCTTGATCTGACGACCTACCCCTGTAGCTCACAAAAATCTGATTGTACTCATAAACTGTGATTGGAATGATAGACTGCAGTAGTGCCAAATTTATACTTAGAATAATAAAACATGTTCAGATTTATAAAATTTGTTGGACTCCTAAATTTTGATTGTACTAATAAAGTCAAGTAGAACCGAATTTTTTGGACCTAAATAGGATCCTATTTCGCGATTTTTGGGACTAAAACGCCTATTTAAGTTTATTCTCTTATGTTGATGAAACTACTATATTCGAAAAGCCTATATACGCTGCTCTAAAAGAAATGTACAAGGAAAAGAATTTTTATGAGCAAGTGTGTAAACAGGAACCTCCGATGGATGAAGAAAGAAGAGGAAAATTTGCCAAAATTTGGAAATTAATTACTGAAAGTGAAGTATTTGAATTGGGCTATGAATTTCTTCGAAAAAATCGTCAGCTATAAAATTTGTATAAAATTATTTTGAGGCATTTTTAGAAAAAACCAAGAAAAGCTTTGATGAATTCCGTGAACGAATGTTTTATTTTTGGTTTGGGGCATATTCCCGGTGTGAGCAAGATGTGGATTCTGAACCTTTGGGAAGTTCAGGTGAAAAAGATAAATTTCCATTTGGGATTATTTAATTAATTGAATTTATATAAATTAGGGTTAATAACATTAAATAACAGAAGGGGTTTAAAAGAGTCGACTTTAATTTAAAATTTTGAGGGCTTATAACTAGGGTTGTACAAAACATGGAAATTCGCATCCTCAACGGTCGCGTCCTCAAGAGTCGCAACCTTGAAGGTCGCAACCTTGAAGGTCGCGTCCTCAAAAGTCATATCCTCATGTGTCGCGCAAGGGGTTGCACAAAACATGGAAATTCAAGTATTGTATGCTGATATGACTTAAAGTGGGAAGCCCAAAAAGTGTGTTTTTACAATGGTTCGAGCACTTTATGACTTGGTTCTTAATGCATATTTTTGAATTTTTCGGCACATTTTTACTATTTTATCTGCATATTGGCTTTTGGGCTTTTTCGCTCCAAATATTGCGCATATTTGGTATTTTCCGTGCATATCTTGGACATCCCTACTTATACACTTACCTAATTAGAACACTTACCTAATTTTAAAGGTTTTGAACATGTGTTCAGCGGTGAGTGGAATGATGGAATTGGTGTTGAGGGACATCATAATTGGTTGCGTTTTTATTTACAAGAAAAAGCGGGAGAAATTAATTACCATGGATATTTTGAGCATCAAAATAATGATATTCTGGGGACATTCCAGTATGAATGGAAGGGATATTTAAAGCGTATGGGCGGATTCTTCTTGCGAACTTCACCGGGTAAATTTATTGAAATTTTTAAAATTCTGGCAAAAATGTTTATAATTTGATATTAAATTGCTAAATATTTTTTATATTAAATTAATTTTTAATTTTCTGATACTTAACGTTATGTATGTGACTTGTATGTCTACGTACTAACAAGAATAACAAAATAAGACAGTAACTATCAGCTGTGCTTTATCTACAAGACTAAATACAATACTAACGAACGATAGGAATACGTCCGACGTCGAATATGTGGAGCACTAGAATAAGACTAAGAATAACACTAGCTAACACACGAATGGCAGCCGCAGCCTTTTATACTAAGCACATACCCAACACTTAAAATAATATTCAAAAATTTTTTTTAAATATTTTTTGTAAAATTTTCTTCTAATAATTAAAATTATTTTCTAATTTTAATTAAATATTTTACAGCCTTTGACTTCACTCTATTTACTGTATGCTCTATTCTACATCCTGGCTATCAAGCTTGCCAGTTTGAGTTGCTAAATACCAAAATGGTTGTTACAAGTAATACAAAAAATTGTGACAAGGGAAAGTGTTTGGGAACAGCTTACCCTGCATTATTGTTGGATAATTTATTTTGAGGCTTTATTTTCAAATTTTAAACTGTAATTTTTAAACTTACTATTCCCTTAAAAATCTTTTTCATTCATATTTTCTATCAATTACAGGGTGCGTAAAAAGTTCCCGGAATTTTTTAAATTTCAATTATTGGGGTGAAACATTGAATATTACAACAAAATTCGTTCATAATCATATTTAGCACGATTTTTGGGTTCAGAAAACCCTAGGCATCAATAACAGAAGAGGGTTGCGCGACCATTCAAGAGTTTTTCGTAAGCGTTTGGATGCGTGTATCTCATCGGGCGGATCTCATTTTGAAAATTTGTTTTGACCATTTATTTACAAGATTATTATAAACGTTATGTATTTGTAAACTTATTTTTATTTTGATATAAGAGAAAATAAATCCGTTTTGATTAATTCCGGGAACTTTTTACGCACCCTGTATGTTATTTTTGGAACTTATAAATGGTTTGGTTATGGTTTTAAGCCACACCCTTTTTTTCCATTAGGATTGCCTGATCCAGATATCCGGATCCGAAAAGGCCGGATATCCGTAAATTTTCGGATAACAGATACGTATCTCTAAAATTCCGTTTCAAATATTGGATCTCCTTTCGACCTTCGATCCAGGAATTTTTAAAATTATTTTCAATTACGTTTTAGGAATTTTCTCGATATATCTAGTATGTATGATTATCGAAAAATAACTTTATTTAGCATCCCAACTTTGATTGGGATATGTAAAATGGAATAATGCCTCTGGAATAATAGCTCGCATTATATTTTTATTCCCGCCAGCATTAAGGTTAAAGGGTAATTAAACAGAGTAATTAATCGAGAAAAACCTGTATATAGCTAATTTAAATTCTTATTAAACTGTCATTATACCATTTAAACAAAGAGCCCAATGTTTATAATTTTAGAACTAACAGTTAATAGATTACTTTATCAGATTATTTTTCCAATATAATTATAAATCTAATTTAGGCTCCAAAATTTACAAAACTAAAAACATTGGCACCAACTTTTACTACCACATTTTGACGAAAATGTTTCTACGTTTTTTCACCTTTTCTCCTTATTTTTAATGATACAGGCAAATTTTCCGTCATTTTCCATGTCCATTTAAATTCGTACCTCGTTTTAGAAAATCGGTTTGTAAAATTTCTGGTTTGTATATGAATTTGTAAACCAGATTCACCACTAAAAACACCACACCACATCTTATTAAATTAAGTAAAGCCAAAATTTATTTTTTATTATTTATTTAAAATTTTATACATTGTATAACTAACTTGTTTGATATTCAAACTATGTTCACCTTCCTGGCTACCATATTTTTTTATTTATAGAGAAGTCAATATGGTAGTTTTGAATGTTTACAGTAAGATTTACTTTATTATTTTTTAAAAATATTTTTGAAACATTATTCATAAAATTACCATTTATTTTCTAAATTTATTTACTTTTTACTTGATTTATTACAAATGCTTTTATTTTTCTTATGTATAAATTTTTTGGGTAAAATTATAGTTATTTGGGTAAATTATACAAGAAATGTTTAAGTGACGTGGAATACCGGAATTTTGGTCACAAACTTTTCGAAATTTTAGTCACTAGCGGAAATTTTGGTCACCAAGTCAAAAAACGGAATATTGGGCACTGAAATTTTGGTCACCAGTAGGAATTTTGGTTACTAAACATGTAAAACGAATCTTGTCTTAAACTGATAGCAAAGTGATAAAAAATAATTTTTCAACAAACAGTTTTTCAACCTTTCAAACTTAATAAATATTTGCTATTTTTATCTGGTAAAGATAAATTACAGAAAAAGTTAATATTTTTGTGTTATCATGTTTAAAATCCAAATCATCAATTTGTTGATCTAAGCAATTCAAGAATTTAGTTCCTTTAAAAAATCCGGATCATCCAAAAAACTTAGATCTACCAAATCCTTTTGATAATCATTTTGACATAAAATATGTCCATCTACTGGTTGAACATTTCCATATAAATTATTTACACAATCACCCGTCTGTGGATTACCAAATGACTTTATTTCTGAATTCTCATTCCTCTGATTATTATTTAACCT